CAGTTAGAGACCCCCACCCACTTGGGCTGGAGAGTCAGGGTTCTGTGTGGGCCTCCAGCAAATGACATTGTCTCTCCCCAGCGCCCGAGGCTCAAGTAGGAAATGGCCTTTGCCAGGAAGTGGTGGTGGAAGCTCCAAATTTCCTTGGGGGCTCCTCGGCTGCTGCCCAGCCATAGAGGAACAGCTGGAAAGCTGTTAGGGCTCCAGTCGCTAATCTGAGACCCCAGCCCCTGTTGCTTCACAGAGCTCAGGTAGGGCCTTATACTAAGCTATAGCCTGCAAAATAGCAACAAATCAAAACAGGGACTGATACACTTATCCCTCGCAGTGCCTCTCTCACACCTGTGTACACCTGCCTCCTCACCCAACTGTCCTCCTAACAAGAAGCTCAGTAGGCCACAAGCCCACTTGGCAAGCCAGTGACAAGCCAGCCGGGGGTCTTGTAGCAGTCTGCCTGGGCAGGGGGCTTATCCATCCACAACTGTCTGGCCGGCCCACCCCCCCCCCCCCCCCCCCCCCCCCCCCCCACGCCGGCCACACCTGCCTACTCCCTCATGGCTCCGTTCTCCATTCAGGGGCCTCTTGCTACGTATTCCAGGGCACACTTCCAAAGAGGGATCAAGGGTCCTGGGGAGCAGAGAGAGGCACAGCTCATGGTTCAGGCTTAGCCTGGACGAGCACGTCTCAGGACGAACAAAGCTTCCTTCAGCGCTCCGAGCATGCGCCAAAGCGCGCCCAGGTGCGAACCCCCGAGAGGAACTTCCGGACTCACGCATGCGCAGAGCCACCAGCCCCCCCCTACCCCGGTCCCTCCCTCGGGCGTTTCCCGCGCCTGCGCAAGATCCTCCAGTCCGATAGAGGGCAGTGAGCCGGTCCTCACGCGGGTTTGGCACCGCCGGCGTAACCCGGAAGCAGCCGCTAACCCGGAAGAGGTTGTGTTTTAGGGCTTTGGAGGGCGCGGTGGCGGCAGCTGCTACTTTGGAGGTGGTTGCGGAGCTACGATGAACGCCCCTCCCGCCTTTGAGTCGTTCCTGCTCTTCGAGGGCGAGAAGAAGTAAGTGGTGAGCGGGCCGGGGCGGGGAGGGTCGGGCCGAGGGCCGGTCGCAGATTTGGGGGCTTCTCCTGCCGGTCCCCTGCCGGGGGGAATGAAACAGCTTTGGCTTGAGCGTCGGCTCGGCCGAGTCTGCCAAACGTAAGATGACAGCAAGAACAAAACTGTAATTTAACCACATCCCAAAATGAACCTCACGAATATTTATAGGAATATAAAAGTATCCAGCACTAACAAGATTAAAGTCACAATTTCTTGCATATAAAAAAATTACCAAGCACAGCCCTGCGAGATGGTGGTGAGTCTCCCCATTTTGCAGATGAGGACACTGAGGCTCAGAGAGGTTAAGTAACTCCCCTGGGCACACGGGAAGTGGCGGGTCTGCATTCGAACCCAGACTGGCTCCAAAGTCTTTTTGCTCTGGAATCTGGCAGCCTCCTCGCTCGTCTCCCTGCCCGCCGCCTTTGTCCTCCGTGCTGCAGCCAGGGTGGCGGTTCCTAGACTCGTATCCGATCTTCATTCTCTTGCGTAGAACCTTCAGTGACCCCTCACTGCCTGCGGGGTGAAGGAGAGTGTAGTCTCGGGGTCGGACAGCCTGGGCTTGGCTCCTGGATCTCCCGCTTAAGGACTCTGTGTCTTTGGGCAAGTGACTCAGTCTGCCTGAGGCCCACTTTCCTCATCTGGAAAATGGGCTTATTACTGCATTGAACCACAGGGTTTTCTCTAAGGGGAGATTAAATGAGGTAGTTTATATCACGCGCTTAGTCCAGGGCTCAGCATGTGGAAGACCCTCTTAAAGGTTGGGCTTTCCTTCTCTGAACAGCCTGGCCTGCAGGGCTCTGTGGTCTAGCCCTTGCCAGCCATTTCAGTCTCCCTGAGAGCAGCGGTTCTCAACTGGGGACCATTTTGCCCCTAGGGGGCTTTTGGCAATGCCTGCAAACATTTTTGGTTGTCATGGGTGGGGGGGTGCTACTGGCATCTAGTGGGTAGGGCCAGGAGTGCTGCTAATATCCTACAACGTACAAGACAGCCCCTACAAAGAAGAACTATCTGGCCTAAAATGTCAGTGGTGCCAAGGTTGAGAAAGTTTGCTTCAGGAAAAAGGAGCCATCCAGAGTGGGCAAGGGTCCCCCAGGATGAGGGTGTGGCTGGGGTCAGGATGGAGACACCCTGCCGCTCTGAGTCAGGGGTCTTTATGGGATGAAGAGATTGGGAGAGGCTTCCAGGAGGACGTGGGACTTGAGCCTGCCGTGAACGGCAGGGTTTAGACTCAGGGGAGGAGGGGAGCCCCTGCCCCCCATCTGTTGCCTCTCCTCTTCCTAGGATCACCATTAACAAGGACACCAAGGTGCCCAATGCCTGTCTGTTCACCATCAACAAAGAAGACCACACCCTGGGAAACATCATTAAATCGTAAGTTCCAGGTCCAAGGTTCCCGGGCTGCGTTTTGTGGGGCTTTCTGAGGCAAAGCGCAAGTTCCAGAAGATTTTCTTGACTGTGTTTTTGTGCTAATGAGCGTGGAGAAGCAGTCAGGGTTAGCTCCCACCCACCAGCCCGTTTGTGACATGACCCCGGTGACACCTGGCGTTCCCCATGTGTGTGGCAGAGATTGGAACTGAGTAGAGTAGGAGGTGGGAGAGGGCTCTGTGGTCATCTGGTGCCCCTGGTGGGTACCTGACATTGGTTGGTGAGTATTTATTTACACCTGTGAAGTCCTGGCCAGGGTGGTGGTCATGACGTGAGTGCCGCTCTGGCCCGGAGACTTGTCGTTCTGCTGAAAATGCCATCAGTGAGGCCTGGCTCGCCCCGGTCTGCGTGCCGAGGCCGTGAGCAGGAGCTGCCCGGTCTCCTGGTATAGGTAGGGAGCAGGGTTGCCCGTCTTCTGTTCGGATGCCTCCTGCCCTCAGCCAAACCAGTGGTGCACCTGGGCTCTTCTGGGGCCCCGCTGCTCCACTCCTATGTGAGCCCAGTGTCCCCACTTGTGCTGGGGCGCTGCCTCTTGGTGCTCACACTTGACTGAGCTGCTCTGGAGAACAGCTGTGCTTGCCCAGGGCACAGCACACAATGTGCACTTCACGTCCCACAGCCTTGCAGAACGGTCCCCACGTGTGTGGACGGCAGCTGCCAGCCCATGTTGCCCAAAGGACTTCCACTTCCATTTCACTAACTGCTGGGAGCCGGGCCTTCTCCCCTGCTGCCTCTCCTTGCTGTGCCAGATGCTCTCTGGGGGCTGGGATGGGGCATTTGTGTTCTAGTTTACTGAATACTGACTGGAGTTTTACTGCCTAGGAAGATGTTTTTGGGGGCGTTGGCCCCAGTGCACTTGCTTACAGGCCTCAACCCACCAAGAAGCTCCCTTGGTTAGAAGGCCTGGTAAGCCCCAGGGACACTGGGCTCAGCCTCCTTCCCACTGCCCATCCCTGTGTCTCAGACAGCTGCTGAAGGACCCACAGGTGCTGTTTGCTGGCTACAAAGTCCCCCACCCCTTGGAGCACAAGATAATCATCCGCGTGCAGACCACACCAGACTACAGCCCCCAGGAGGCCTTCACCAATGCCATCACAGACCTCATCAGCGAGCTCTCCCTGCTGGAGGAGCGATTCCGGGTGAGGAACCAGATGCGCAGGCTCTATGGCCAGAGCCGCAGTGTTCTCACGCTCATGCCTAGGATGACCCCTGGGTGGTTTCCTGATTCATTTGGGGGTGTACAGAGGTGATGACAGAGCAGGGATCTCCACCACAGTCTTCAGGCAGCACAGACTAAGGGGTTATGGAGTTCAGCCCCGGGGCCTGCTGTCTGCACCCATGGGTGGGACCTTACCTAGCGCTCCAGGGTCTGCTTGTGAGCTCTTTGTGGTCCCTGTGGGAGCAAGGGGTGCAGTGCCCCATGGGGATGCTCCTCCAAGTCTCTTGTCTGTGGTGCTGGCTGCTCTGTGGTTTGTAAGGCCTGGGTGCTTCTAGGGCATTTGTCTGGCTGGGGGCAGCTCATCCTAGGGTGGGGCTCCAGGAAGGGCCAAATGGTATGGTCACACCTGTTCCTGCAGGGACCTCAAAGTCTAGACTGGATTTAGAGGGAAAGATCCATCCCGTCAGATTTCTACATCTAAGTCAGATGCTCACCAGGAGGCGCCTCTGCCCCACTGCCTCCCGCCAGGCAGCAGGACATGTGCTGCACACAAATAATGGGTTGGGCAGGGCTGGCTCAGAGGGTCCCTGGGGCTCGGCCTCCCTGCTCCCTGGAGCTGCTCAGGCCCGGTTTGCAGCCTCTGTTCAGTTCATGGCCGCGTTCTGGAGCAGGGCCAGAATTCCTGTCGGACCTCCGTCGGGGATGCTGGGCTTGCGTTCCCCATGCCCTCACCCTGGTCGTTCCAGCTAAGTGTGCTGTCTTCTTCCTCCCCCAGGTGGCCATCAAAGACAAGCAAGAAGGGATCGAATAGTGGGCTGGAAGGAGTCTCGCTTGGCCAGTTCCTATCCTGCACTGGGCCTTCTCCAGGCGCCAGGTGGAGAGCAGCTCCTCCCAGCTGTGGGCCTCCTTGTAGCTACCCCAGTGAGCCCCTCACCCCCGACACCCACGTGTCCTGTACATAGATTGTTTTATCTTCCTAATAAAGTGTGGCAGGGAAAAGACCCGGATGAGGCCTGAAGCAGGGGGGATTTCACAGCAAATGGACTGTCAGTCTCGGTGGAGGTAGATGACCTGTTGCAAAGCCACTCTGCGGCCACATTTCAGAGTGAATTGGCCCAAAGACTCAGGTTTCTGTCAGGGTGGTAGGAACAAGCTCATTCTGGACAACTGGGAACCCGGGAGGAGGTGGTCTTGAGCAGAAGGGGATGGAAAACCCGTGGACTTCCGTGAGTCTCTGCTCTGGAAGCCTCAGCTGCCAGCTCTGCCTGTCACTCAAAGTAGGAGGAGCAGACAGGCCCACAAACGGCTCGCCACAGGCTTCTCTACCCCAGTAGAGTTTAATAAAAATAGTCAACTGTGAAAAGCTCCCTGTCATTAGCAAAAGCTGAATAAGTTAAGTTGTGTCCATGGGCCTCTGCGTAGAGGCAGGAGCTTGTGCTCAAGGCTAGTGTTTCCTCCAGATGGCCACGATGTTGGAGTCCGTCAGAGCGGTGAGGTAGGTAAAGGTGGGGTTGGCCACCACTGTGTTCACCATGGTCTTCGTCACCGCCTGCCCGAGGGCCCGGGGCTGGGGCCACTTAAGGATCTGGTGGGAGGAGAGGGGGCTGGGCTCCGGCTTCCTAGACACCGGGCCCTTGTCCTGCACCAGGCCCCGGCAGGGCGGTGGGAGTGAGCTGTGCATACCTGCGTGGGCGCCTGCGGGGCTGCCAGTGGCAGAGGCTGCTGCGTTAGGATGTGCTTGATGTCGTAAACCCACACGTTGCCCTCCTCGTCCCCACAGAGCACAATCCCTTCATCTGCCAGGACACAGAGAGTGGAATCTCAGGTGGGGCAGGGGGTGGGCAGAGCTCCAAAAGGTGGCAGGTGGGACGGTGCGGGTGGGCTCACCAGGACAGGCGCTGAGTGAGAAGTAAGCCAACTCAGTGTGGGACCACTGCAGCCGAGCCAGGACCACTACTGCCACCATGGACTGGCTTCCTCGGCCCAGCCACGTCTGGCTCCAGCTCCATAGGCAGATGGTACCCAGGCCATTCCCCTTGGAGGCTGTGCGGGGAGAATAGAGAACTGTGCCTGGGGGGGCCCCCTCTCCAGTCACTTCTTGTCCCACAGTGGGGACCCCTCTGAAGCCTTCAAACCTAAACCCCAGGCCAGGGAGAAGTGACCCATGAAGGCCTTACCAGGGCCCATGTGGGTCCCAGGAGGCCAGGCTGTTCTGAGTCAGGCCCACTCACCCACGACATCGTCATTCACAAACGCCAGCCCGTCCACTCGCCGTCGAGATGCCTCCGAGCCCTCGAAGACGAACTCCACGTCACACACCCTGCGGCGGCAGAAGACGCTGGTGGGCTACTCCTTACACATTTTGTAAAAGCTGCTCATCCACTCAAGTGGCTGCCAGGGACCTACTCTGGGCTCTGCCCTGTGCATAGGTCAACAGATGCAACCAGAGAGACCCCTCCTGGGCCTTAGAGGGGTTCCGCTCTGCCCTGGAGGTGGGAGCCAGCACCTCAGGCTACTGAGTCCCAGGTGCTGGGAACTCAGAAGCATGAGGGGCTGCTGCTTCCAGGATGGGAGTGGGCTGTGTGGCCAGGAAAGGTTCTGGAAAGAGGCAGTGTCTCTGGGACTGAGTGACAGATGAGCAGGAGTTCGCCAAGCAGCTGAGCACTGGGGACCAGAGGGGAGATTTGGAGCCTGAGGACAGTGGGAGTAGCTGCTGAATGTTTCCAAGCTGAGACTGTGCGTGGGGTCACACTGCTTGGAGAGGCCATGCAGCAGCAGCCTGGAGTCCTGAGAGGCCACCTGGAGCCAGAAAGGCAACCAAGTAGCAACCATGAGAAGCAGATGCGTCTGAGATGCAGGAGGAAGGCCACACACAGGGCTGGAGACCAGGCAGACGTGGGTGGGCAGGGAGGGGGCAGGCCCAGGGCCACCCCCAACACATGGCTGGACAACAGCCACAGCCTGTGTGGAGACCTGCCCTCCTTCCCTCCCAAGCAGCTACGTCACCAGCCTACCCTGGCCCAGGTAACCCTGCCACCTCATCTTGTGCCATTTCCTCCAATTTTCCAAGCTGTGGCCAGACTTCCATGGCCAGTCTTCGGTGGTCAGCCAGCTCTCCCCGCCACCGGCCCTTGGCACATGCTGTTCCCTCTGTGTGAGCACGTTCCCTTCCCTCTGCCTGCCTGATGCCCTTGCAGGGGACACTGGGAGCCTGAGAACCCATCTGTCTACCACCGGTCCTTCTGCAGAGGCCCACTGGCCTCCCTGTCCCCCTCTCAGACCGAGACCTGATTCTCTTTCCTTTGTAGCTTTGTGGGGTTTGAAGTGGCCACCTTTGTTTAAGGCCTGTCTCCCTGACTAGGCTGTGGGCCCCACGAGGGCAGGGACCCTATGCCAAGCCATCTCAGGCCTTCTGGGTGGTACAGATGGGCCACAGGCCTCACCCTGGCCTTCCCAGGGCCTCATCCTTGTCTAGACACATCTCTCTTGTCCTCCATTAGTCCTGGGATGCAAGTTGCTGTCCCCACTTTACAGATGAGAAAATTATGCTAGGACAGAGAAAGGTCACTCTGCTGGGGGGGTGGCAGGACCTGGGGTTGGTGAAGCCCCAGGTTGAAGGGGAGGTGATCACAGCCCAGTCCCCAGCCCAACACCAGGGAAGGAATGGGTCACTTGGGCGTTTCCTCGAGAGACTAGGAGGAGGTGGGATGGGGCATGTGGTTTGGGCACCACCCCTGGCAGGTGTGCCTGGGGTCGGACATCTGGACCGGCAGCCACCTGGCTCAGAGGCTTGGCTTTCAAGGCATCCCCGCCTGGCCTCACCTCCTCTTCTGAGGCTGGTCCAGCCGCACATCCCAGCAGCAGCAGCCACCCTCACAGCCAGCCAGCAGGTAGGCATCTGGGCAGGAGGCCACTGGGCAGAGACGCAGGGGGATGGAGGTGGTATCGAGCGTGAGCAGCTGGCTGCCGGCACATGAGAGAGACAGCATGAGCCCATGGGCCCAGGGGTCTGCTCACCCTAGCAGCCATTCCCTCCCCCCAGCCCTCCCCCCAAGCATCACCTGGCCTGGAATTCATAGTCGTGGTTGGGCACCCCAATGTCCCAGAGGATAATCCGCTTGTCATAGGAGGCCGCTGAAGGGGCGATGGGAAGAGGACGGGTGGCCCTGAGGGCCCTGCTCCCTCCCGCAGGCTACATCCCAGGCTGAGACCATGGTCCCAAGGCCAACCCTCCAGGGCCGGGAGGAAGGGCCATGGCTGAGAGACAGAGAACTCAAGGACCTACAGTCCCTGTCCCGCTCTAACCTAATGCACCCCACGCCAGGCAGCCATCTTTTGGAGGCCTCTGCTCACACAACACCCTTGTTGGGCTCACCACTCCTGAGGGCCAGGGGTATCACCCAGGTCAGACAGAGTGGCTCAGCTTGCTGGAAAGCTCCAAGGCCACAGAGCAGGAGGAAAAGCAGGGTCCGAAGCCCAGTCAGTTGTCCGTGAAGCCACGTTGGTCCCACCACAGACAGAGCCGATCTCGCAGCCCAGTGTGAGGCCCACCAGCCACATGAGCTCCCACCATCCCAGGGAGCACTGAGGCACTGGGCTGCAGGACGGGGGTGCTGGGGAGCCCCGGGGGGATGGGGAGAGGGTCTTACTGAAGAGGTGGGTCTCGTGGGTGGGGCTGAAGCAGAGGGTGGCGATGGCCTTCTTGTGGGCCCGGATGACCCCGCAGCAGAAGCCGGCACGCACGTGCAGCAGCCGGACCAGCCCCCGCAGGCCTGCAGCCGCCAGCACGCTCCAGCGCTTCTTGTGGCCTGCCTGAGTGACCACCATCAGGGCTGTCCAGGCCACGGAGAAGAACTCCTTAGGGGGAGAGGGGGCATGGTCACCGAGGGGCAGAGCTGCGTGTGTGCACAGGCATGCAGGATAGGCTGGGAAACTGAGGCCCAGCAGCAAAGAAAAGGTCACCTGGTGCATAGGAGGCCGAGCCTGGACCCCCAAGACAACACTCCCGCCCCCAGGAGTCAAGGCTCTGCCTGCCACCCTGCAGGAGCAGGCCCTGGCACTCACCTCGCCTGGCGCCTTGTACTTGTGCAGTACGATGCCCGTCTGGCAGTCTATCACACACACAGCCTCCCCGCCACACGTGGCCACAGTCTGGGATGTGGCCCCTACATGCCCTGTTTTGGGGGGTCAGCCTAGTAAAAACATTTTCTGTAAAGTTCCCCTCTGCAGCTCCCTCTTCCTGGCCTTGACAATACTTTTAAGCTCTCTGTTCCTCCAGATTCCCCATCCACGCAGGCGGCCCCCTCCAGGCGGCATTCCTAGGTTCCCTTCTTGTTCCCTGTGGCCCCCGCCCTGTCCCTGCCTGCCCACCATGCATGTACCCTCCTCCCAAGCCGGCTCAAAGGCGCAGGCCCAGAGCTGCGTCTCCAGGTCCCGAGGGCTGTTGTTCTTGCTGTGGCATTGTAGGAAGTGCAGGGGCTCCAGCTTCGGGGCAGGCTGTGGGGGCAGAGTGGGGTCATGGCAGCCCCAGCCCTAGCTCCCCACCACATGCTCCCTGCCACCTTGCTAGGTTACCTGGCTGTCATCAGAGCCCACGGGGCTGCCCTCCACCGGGGCGGTGCACACCCGCTTGTTGGGAGAGAGGTTGAGTGGGACATCATCCGGCCGTTTCAAGGCACCTGGCTTGGCCTGTGGAGGGGGCAGGGGGCCAGGGGCGGGCTGAGGGCCTGGTGACCATGAGCTCATCCGTCCAGGCTTTCCTCCTCCCCATCACAGGCTGGACTGCACCCTCCATGGTGTGGGAGACAAGGGCCAGTCCAGGGTCAGAGGGAACTAGCATAGGCATCAGAGACTGTCTCCCGGCTCATTTCCTGGGCCCCCTCTTCCCTGCAGCCTCCCTAGGCAGGAAGGGCAAGGCAGGCCCTAGGAGCCCGGGGAGATGCATGGAACCACACTCACCCTGGGCTCCTGGGCAGCTGTGGCTTTTGAGGGCCTCTCCAGGCTGTCTGCCTCATGTACCTGAATCCCACTAGAGGCCACCAGTTCCTCAGAGATCATCCGCACCTGGATGGGGCCAGGCCATCAGGGAGCTGAGCATAGTCCTGGGGGCCCCCAGCCCCTCCCCAGATGCCTGGACAGCGGGAGCTTGTGCTTCCCAAGGCAGGAAAGGCCCTTTCCAGCCCATAGGGCTGCCTTCCCTGACCCGCCTTGGTCCCCACTGCCCCTCATGGCCAGAGACCTCCAGGGAAGCTCAGGGCACGGAAGCCAGCAAGGAGCTGGGAGAAATGACCCCCAGCACAGTGGGGTGAGGACATACCCGCCACTGGGTGAACTCGCTGAGGGACTCGGGCCCATAGCGGACATCCCTGATGGCAGACCTCACAAAGTCCTCCTGGGCCTTCTCCGCCTCCTCCTCTGGGCTCAGTGTAGCCATGAACTTCTCCCAGTGAGCTGTGACCTGACACCAGGCACCAGATTCAGGCCCAGCCCACCCCAGCTCTCCCGGACCCTTCATGGCACCTCTGCCTCCAACCTCACGGGCACAGCTGTCTCCACCTCCCTGTCTCCTGCAAACCACAGCCTTCTCAGCTGCAGGCTGAACAAGCCTAAGCAACACACACGAGTACCAGCCCCAGGAGGAGGGGCTGGCCCAGGGTAAAGGCACTGTGATGGCGTCTCAGCCTCCCCTGCGGGGCCCCGGCCTGCACACGGGAGGGCACGACCTCCAAGCACAAGAGGCCAAACACCACAGCCAGGCTCAGAGCGGCACATCAGGCCAGGGGCTAAGGGGCGAAGAGCCTCTGTTACCCCCAAGAGTCCTCCAAATGTGCACTTCTGTCACCCCATCCCCAAGGTCCCCGACTCCTCCCAAGGCCCAGACCCCTCCCAGCTCCCTCACCCTGCTGGTCAGCTCCCGGTTCAGGCTCTCCACCTGAGAGGAAGTGGAGGAAGCATCCTTGCCATTGACCTTACGGAGCTTGGGCAGGAGAAACGAGACTTTCAGATTGTCACTGACCTGGGGGATGAAGAAGGAGTGGCTTGGGGGTGCCTAGCCCCAGGCTCAGGGGCTGCTGAGCCCGAGCCCAACAGAATGCTGGCCCTGGGCATGGGGCTGGGGGTCCCCCACGTACTGTCAGGAAGGGGTTGCCCTCTAGGCTGAGCTCCTCGAGCTGTGGGAACTGGCACAAGGTAGTGACGTCCCCCAGCTGGTTGTTGGCGCAGCGGAGGATGCGCAGGTGGGACAGGCCCAGGTTGGCAGGCAGCGTCTCCAGTTGGTTGTTGGAGAGGTCCAGCTCTTGCAGCTGTGTCAGGCGGCTCAGGAGCTTGGGGTCCAAGTGCTCAGAGAGCAGCTTCAGCCCTGACAGGCTGGGGTGAGATGAGGGGCAGACCAGGAGGGCTCAGGGGCAGGCGGGCCTCCTCGCCCCGCCTCTGGCAGCCCAGGGGCCTCCGAAGGCGTTTTCACCTGGCCTCTCTTGCGCATGCACAGCCTCTCCCCAACATCCCGCTTTTTTTAAATCTTAGAACTCGGGCAGCATGGCCCGCTCAGGATGCTTTTCCTGACTCTCTGGGGGCGCTCCTCTGTAATTGTCGCAACAGGTTGCTCAGTACTCTTTCTGCAAGACTCCCCAGCAGCCCGGGCCTTCTTCAGGGGAAAGGCCACTTGGAGCCAGCTCGGCCCATCTCGTAACGAGAGGACGGCGTTTGGCCCCAGCGATTAGGAGAGTTCGCCGAACCGAGAGAGCCGTTACGGGGCAGGGCAGGGAGTCGGCAAGGGTCCCCGCCCTTCTTCCCGCCCGCCCGGCGACCACAGCCCGGGAGGCGGGCTGTGTGGCCTCGGCGCCGCGGACCCCCAGTCATCCCCGGCCCGCCTCTTACTCCAGGCTCCGGATCTTGCCCAGCCGGTCGCTCTTGGGTCGCCCCCGCTGCATCAGCAGCCGCGCTGAGAGGGGGCCCATGGCGAGGAGGCGCGGCCCGCGCGGGCCCGATCGGCGGCACCAGCGGCGGCCGAGCCCGCTTCTCCCGTCGGTGGCGCCGCGCGAGCCCAGGAGGTGGCGCCGCGCGAGCCTGGTGGCAGAGACGACCGGAAGGAAGCAGCCCGCGGACCTCGTGCCCTGCGGACCTCGCGCCCTTGCGCGCGGACTACAACTCCCAGCGGCCCCCCGGCCCGCGGCTCCGCGCCTGCGCCTTGCGCGCCAGGACGCGGCGATGGCGGCTGCGGCAGTGGCAGCCCCCGAGGTCCTTCGGGAATGCGGCTGCAAGGGCATCCGGACCTGTCTGATCTGCGAGCGGCAGCGCGGAGGGGACCCGCCCTGGCAGCACCCACCGCAGGTGAGGTCTGGGAGAGGAGCCGCGCCCGCGGCTCCGCTCTTCATATGGGGAAACTGAGGCCCAGGTTGGCCATGAAGACGGGCCCCAGATCGAACGGTGTCAGGGGCCCTCGCGGTGGGGCGTTGCGGGGAGAGGAGGTGAGGGCTTTGAGGAGGAGGCTTGGAGTCGGGAAGGGGCTGGGACGCGGGTGCAGTCCGACCACAGCGCGCCTCTGGGGCTGCGGGGGAGTCTGACAGCAAACCTTCATGTCGCCCCCTGTATCTGGGGCTTGGAGCTTCACGGGCCCTCGGGGACACGACACGGAACGAGAAGAGGGTCCGAAAACCAGGGCAGAGGGCCCCAGAAGGCCTTGGACGGAAATGGGCAAGGAGGAAATTAATGCAATTAATTAACCAAAAAGGACTCAGAGCCTTTGAGCTGCGCAAGGACGTTCCAGCGGGGGGACTGCTTGGGCAAAGGCCTGGGGGAGGTGCGTGTGCTCAGACGGCGTGATGCTTCCGGTGAGGGGGTGACACGGTCGCCGGGGCCTGGCAAGGCTGCACTGGTCCTGAGGCTGTGGAGAACTCCTGAGGGTTTTAAAGGAAGTTGCAAGTGAATTTGGGAAAGATCGTGGGAGGGGTGGGGCGGACAGGAAGGTGTGGAGGCTGGGAAGCCAGACAAGAAACTGTGGCAGTGTTCCTGGTAAGAGCTTGGAAGGTCCTGTGGGATCAGTTTAGCAGTTCCTCAGAAAATTACGAGCAGAATTACCTACGGTCCAGCCCTTCCACTTCTGGGTAGATACCCGAAAGATACTGACAGCGGGGTCTGGAAGAGATACTTGCAAACCCATGTCCGTAGCAGCACTATGCCAACAGCTAAAAGGTGGAAGCAACTCTAGTGTCCATTGACAGATGAATGGATAAACAGAATGTGCTACTTTACCACAATTAAAAACTTTAAATAGCAGTTAAGTTCACGGGTTCGGATCCTGGGTGTACATGGCACTGCTCATCAAGCCATGCTGGGCAGCATCCTATATACAAAATAGAGGAAGATTGGTACAGATGTTAGCTCAGGGCCAATCTTCTTCACCCCCCCCCCCCAAAAAAAAAGCCAAAAGTCTGAACAGTGCCGTGGCTATGGGTGCGGAGACACAGGCTCTGTGGGGGTAGCACCTTCCCAACCTGATGGCTGGGGGACAAGTGAAATGTCCAGCGTGTCCCGTGTGAGGTGCCAGGAGAGAGAACGTGGTGGTTCAGGATGGGGTGGGGTGGTAGCAATGCCTATGGAACATAAAGGGGAGGAAGCAGAATTCACTGGGCAGGGAGGACCCCAGACTGCCTGTAGATCTGACAGTCACAGCCAGCCCAGCCGGAAGCTCCCGAGCAAAGACTGCCCATTAGGGAGTCCCGTGTTGGACAGAACCACTGGCAGGGGCTGCCCAGGACGAGGATGGCCCCCCTTGAAACCTGAGGCAGGTCCTGAAGGCCCTGTGGCAGGAGGTCGTTAGGCTGGCACTCCTCGAGGAGGACTGGCAAATTCTGATCTTTCTCGAAGGGAAATTGAGGCAGCGCCTGTGGCTGCCACAGCATAGGGCAGGGCCCAGAAACGTCCCCGCCTCGGCTGGAAAGGGCTTCTCCCCTCCAGCCTCCCAGCGTGTGCCGCTCCCTCCCTGGGCAGCCCCGGAGCCTCAGCTTTAGGGGTAGCATATTTCTCGAACTCCTGGTCTAGGCAGAATGCTTTCACACACTTTAATCCTCAGAGGCTGGAAGGACAGAAGATGCCCCACAGCCACAGCCACTGCCAGGGGGCAACAGTGTGGAATCTGAGGCTGCTTCCTGGCTGTGCAGCCTCGGGCTAGTTCCTTAACTTTGCTGAGCCTCATCTGTAAATTGGAGAGTGAAACATGATCATGCAGATGCTCTTCCTTGTTATGAGGAAAGTGAAAAAGGAGAGGGCTTAGGGCCCTTCCCAGGAGGTTCTGCCTCCTTCTGGACTCCAGCTGCCTTCCAAAGTGGCTTCGGGGAAGGATGACCCATCCGGCAGGGGCTGCTCGCGAGGGGCCTCAGGGGCACCCGTGTGCTGAGGCAGGGCTCCAGTGGCTCCAGGACCCCTTCTTTCTTGTGCAGAAAACACACCGTTTCATTTACTACTCTGACACTGGCTGGGCCGTGGGGGCCGAGGAGTCTGACTTCGAAGGCTGGGCCTTCCCCTTCCCGGGTGTGACGGTGATAGAGGACTTCGTGACCCGGGAGGAGGAGGCCGAGATGGTGCAGCTCATGGACCGGGAGCCCTGGAAGCCCTCACAGTCTGGACGGAGGAAGCAGGTAGGCGGGCCCAGAGCTGGGAGGACGGTCGCCCCGCTGGGCCCCTCCAGACTCCTTGTCCGGAGCCTCTTTGCTCACCTCCCTCTCAGTGCTCTCCTCCTCAGCCACACCCCTCGGCCCCCAGGGCCATCGAGGGGCAAGCCCCCTGACCTCAGAGCACGGTGGGCAGGGCTGCTGAGTGGTGTGCCTTGTCAAGGGGGATCTAAAGCAGACAGCCGCTCAGCTCTTTCCGCGCCTTTCTCTAGCTGGCCTGGTGCTGGTGACTGTCACGGTCATGGTCGGGTTAAGGATCGAGGAGGGTTTCTTGAAGGCTACCAGGTGCCTTCCTGTCTGAAATTCTCTCCCCATCACTGTCGTCTCCTCGCACCTGTTCTGCTGATCGGGCCTCCACATCCTGCACTTTCCCTGTGTCGGGGGTCACAGCTCCCTCCTCCCTCCGTTCCTGGGCTCCAGCGATCCTCCACTCCCCAAGGACCTCGAGCCAGCCATCAGGCTGCCTTTCTCTTTGCCTCCCCGGCCTGTCGGCTTTCCTCACCAACTTCCATACCATGGCCAGTTACACTGTCACTTCCATTTGTTGTACTCTTTGCCCTCACCCACAGCCCTGGTTGAGTCCAGCCCCACCCCGCCCCTGGGCACCCACTTGAGGCTTGCTGGCGGGGCTCCCCAGCTCTGCTCTCTACCTCGAGCTGGGCCTTTCCTGCTCCGGCAGTCACACCGCCCTCACCCCGGCTCGTTCACTCTGCTGCTCTCCTTCCACACCTTCTCTTTTCACTCCCCACTCCGCTGACGACCGGGCCTCCCTGAGAACACAGCTGCCTGTGCTGTGCCGACACTGTTCCCCTTACCTGAGCCCCTGGCCAGCTGGATGCTGTCCCCTCCCGCTCGGAAGACACTGTCCAGCGTTGTTCCCCTCTCTCTCCTCGAGATCAGATTTGCCTCAGCTGGGTCTTTTCCACCAGCCTACCGGTGAGCTCCATCTCTCTTGTCTCTGGAGCACAACTTCGCAAGAGCTCTTGGATCTCTTCAATTCCTCTCCTCCCTTAACCCTCTCAAAACCCGCGTCCACTGCTGACCTCCATGCCCTAAACCCAGCCCATCTGCAGGCTCGGTCCTTGGGGCTCTTCTCTCCCTTCTGTGGACGCTCCTTGGCTGCTCTGCGCGAGGCTGCGCACGCTGTTGGCGTATTCGGGACACCCATGTTCGTACCTCCCACCCAGGCTTCTCTCTTGGTCACACCCTGCACCGGGCTCTGGCTCCTTGTCCCCAGCTGCAGCCCCTCAGGGTCCCCATCTCAGCCAGCTCCATCTTCCACCTGCTCAGGCCGGAAGCCATGGGTCTTTCCAGATTTCTCTCTGTCTCTCCTTGGTAGTTCCTGTCAGCTCTTTCTTCCTTCAAACATACCCCGAATCTGAGAACACACCCCCCCCATCGCCACCCCCAGTGCAGGAGCTTCCCGCAGCAGCCCTCGCCCTTTGTGGTCAGCTTCAGTAGAGAGAAAAGTGACCCTGCTGATGCCCTGTCCAGTCGAGTCACCGCTCTGTCACAGAGCCTGCAGAGCCTCCCCTCTCAGCCCAAAGGCAGAGTCCTTACAGGGCCCTGGAAGGCCCTGCACTGGCCGCCAGCCCACCCTTCGTGTCTACTTCTGCTCTCAGCGTGTCGCCTAGGGCAGTCACCCAGCCTCCTCAGTGTTCCTTAAATACTCGGGCTTTGCTCCTCTACGCCCTGCACTCCATCTCAGGCTTCTGCCTGCTGCCACAAGGGGTGGCCTGCAGGAGCTGCCTCGCCCCGGCACTCTGCGACCTGCAGAGCCTGGGGGGGCCAGGACATTTCCACCGGGCGGAGCCCCCCTCCACAGGAGGGGCACCCGAGGGGGCAGGAGTCTGCGGATAAACGCTCCTCTCTTTCATCGCTCAGCCTACAAATCTGAGTTGTGTTCCAGAAGGCTCCTCTCTGATGTGTTTTTGTTTTTTAGAAAGCGGCTACCTACCATGAAATCGACCCACTTCAAGGGCACAATTCAGTGGTTTGATTTTTAGTATATTCACCATATTGTGCAACCATCACCACTACCTGGTTCCAGAACATTTTCATCACCCCAAAGGTGGTGATAATCCATTGGCAGTCACTCCCCACTCCTCTGTTCCCCAGCAGCCACTGATCCGCCTTCTGTCTCTGTGGACTTGCCTGTCCTGGACGTTTCACATAAACGCGAGTATATAAGACGTGACCCTTGCGTCTGGTGTCTTTCAGTTAGCGTGACGTCTTCAGGGCTCATCACTTTGGCGCTGCATCAGCGCCTCACTGCTTTCTCGGGCCGAGCGATATTCCACTGTGCAGAAGTGCGTCGTTCATCCATTCATCCGTTGGTGGACACTTGGGTTGTTTCCACTTTTTGCCTGTTGTGAATAGTGCCGCTGTGAACGTTCATGTGCAAGTTGCTGTGTAGACGCCTGTTTCCAGTTCCTTTGGGTGTGTAGCTAGGAGTGGAACTCTGAGTCATGTGCTCTCTTTGCCCTCGTGGTTCTGAACCCCAGTTGTGCCCGGCGCTGACCGGCAATGCTGCTGCCTTGGGTTGGCTTTCCCGCCCTCGCTGCTCATCCTTCCCAGATCCTTACTCCTTTGCATCACGTCCTGGAACAGGCCGCCTGCCCACGGGCCTTGTCTCGGCTCTGCTTTCTGCAGTACCTGGGCTAGGACATCCCCTCGACACTTCCTATCCCCCTTCGCTGCTTTATTTTTCTCCTTAGCATTTACTGCTGTCTGCTGTTGGCCGTTTATTTACACCTCCTTGGTGTTGGCCTCTTCCTGCTAGAATGTCAGATCCACGAAGTCAGGAATTTTTGCTTGTCTTGGTCGCTGTCATTGAATTCTTCCTACCTGGTCTGTGATCCTGTTTCTGTAAACTCACACGTTTCTCCACTTCTTTCTTGTCCTCGTCCTTCAGGACTACGGCCCCAAAGTCAACTTTCGGAAGCAGAAGCTAAAGACCGCTGGCTTCAGAGGCCTCCCCAGCTTCAGCCGGGAGGTGGTGCGGAGGATGGGCCTCTACCCCATCCTGGAGGACTTCCGGCCTGTGGAGCAGTGCAACCTGGACTACTGCCCGGAGCGCGGCTCGGCCATTGACCCCCACCTGGACGACGCCTGGCTGTGGGGGGAGCGGCTGGTGAGCCTCAACCTCCTGTCCCCCACGGTGCTCTCCATGTCCCGGGAGGCGCCCGGCAGCCTGCTGCTCTGCTTGGCCCCGTCGGGCTTCCCAGAGGCCTTGGTGGAAGGTGTGATGGCCCCCAGCAGGTCCGTCCTGTGCCAGGAGGTGGAGGTGGCCGTGCCCTTGCCCTGCCGCTCTCTGCTCGTGCTCACGGGAGCCGCGCGCCACCAGTGGAAGCACGCCATCCACCGGCGACACATCCAGGCCCGCCGCGTGTGTGCCACCTTCAGGGAGCTGTCGGCTGAGTTCTGTCCTGGCGGGAAGCAGCAAGAACTGGGGCAGGAGCTCCTGCAAATCTCTCTCTCCTTCCAAGGGAGGCCCATGTGAGCCGCCTGCCAGGGACAGGAGCTGGCGCAGGGTGTGGCCGGGGCCACCGGCGCCAGAGTTGACCACGTGCCAGGGCTGAGGGGGAGCCCGGCACTGGGGCCTTTCTTCCCAGCTCACTGGGTTTAGAGAGGAGACTGCACGACCCCCTGAGGCCACGGCAGTGGGAACCCTGCCCGGGCACTGGTTTTGATGGGTCTCTCAGGTCAGTCCCCTTTGACCTGCACCATGGCCACTTGTTCGAGTTATTTAATTTGTCACATTTTGAGGGCAGTGGCATAATTTGAGCTTAAAAATCATTGGCACCACTTAAAACCCTCTCCTTTATCTGCCTCTAACACGGTTTTCCAACGTCCCACCTGTGGTCCTGTCATTTGGGTAGCGTGTTGGATTGGAGAACGGAACTGGCAGATGATCTGAGGTTTTTATTGTTTCAGACTTCAGGGCGGGTGAGAGCTTCTGAGTCAGGCTCTGCTTGGTTGTGCCTGACCCTGGGGGTGCGAGATCCATGAGGACAGGGAACTCTCTCCTGAGAGTCGGGTACCCCCCCGCCCCCACAATACTGTTAAAAAGTTGGGGGGGAGGGGAACATCTCTTCAGCTCCCAGGACAGCACAAAGTGCTTCACTTTCTGGCACTTTCTGGATGGGTGGCTGTCCTGATGCACCTGCGGCCAGGTGGGGAGCAGGTCGTGGAGGCTGAGGGCGATGGCGTGGGCCCTGGCTTGCATGGCCAGCCCTCTTTCCTGCTGCTTCTATGACAAAGTACACTCGGCTCACTGGCCACATGCTGGGAGCCAAACTCTGGGGAGCAGGGCCCCATCACAGCCCAGAAAGCTTCACGTCAGCACTGGTCTTCACAGTCACTCTGGAACTTTCTGAGAGCTGTCAGGGTAGGGGAGCCGCTGACCACTGTGCACTATCTGCAGAGTGGCATCGCGGCTGCCAGGCCACTGGCTCGGGCTGGGGAACCCTGCACAGACCCAGTGGAGAGGCTGCTTGGGCTTCTAGTGGCTGAGGGAGCCCAGCTGCCGGTGCGGGGGTGCTGGGCTCCCAGCCACCTTGACTGCCGCTCCCTGGGTCAGCTTGCTCGGAGCAGGAGGGCTGAGGACAGCTTCCTCCCAGGTACTGTGACCTCCATGCAAGCCCTCTAGCTCCGGCTCCAGGTCCCATTCGGATGCAAGGCTGGGTGGAGCTCCAGCGATCCTGCTGCATCTGCGCAGCCAAGCAGGCTTGCGGGCTGCCTGTTCCACTGGGGCCAGCGGGGAGCCGCTGCCCTCACAGGCTGGGCCTTGGAGCAGCCCGCTCTGCTGCTTGGAGCCTGCAATATGCTCTGCTGACAGAGGGCTCCGGGGGGAACGCTGCACACCCAGACCCATTGGGGAGAGGCCTGTTAAGGCTAGGGGAGCCACTCGGCAAAGCCCGTTACCCCTGGAATCACCCAGTGCTTGTGAGGGCTTGACAGTGGGCCCTTCAAAACCATGCAGAACACAGCACAGGACGTGCTCCCTGCCGTGATGGTCAGTATGGCCCTGCAGGGGACACCGCAGGATGTGCTCCATCACGTCACAGTCAAGGTTGTGACCTGGAAGCTACTACATGAAGACCATCAGGCACGTGTGCCCGCTGTCTCACTTGAGCATCTGCTGCTCAGGCCACCCACTGAGGTGGCTGGGGTGCTTCAGCCACTGCCCTTGACGGGTCTGAGGGGCTGCCCCCAGGAGCCACAGCCTGAGGGGTACGCGGTCTAACCCCGTATTTCAGGTGGCCATTCCTGCATTCAGCACGCTTTCCCTAAGTGCCAGGCGGATGCAGTGCTGACTGTCTGCCTGTTCCAAGGCTCTTGCAGTGACAGACTAGAAGGCACAGGCCCCCGGGGACATGCTCGTATGGAAGTCCCCTCTTCCAGAGTCGAAGGGAGCTCAGCTGACACGCCTCAGCCTGCCCTGCTGTAGAAAAATGTTGAGGAAACTCAGGCCGTTTATTTGTTGGGCGGGCGGTGTGGGGGAGGGGGGGTAGCGGTGAGGCACAGGCTGCTCCTCATGGGGCGGGAGGGCTGAGCTCCGTCCAGGGAGACTCCTCCGGGTTATTCCTGCGCAGACTCGTGTAGAACCTGCCTGCACCGTCCCCAGCGACGCGTGGGGACCCACAGACATCGGGGGCTAGGAGGGTTCTGCGGGTTCTAAAAGGGCTAGCAGGAGGCTCTGGCCTCGCTCCTGTCCCACCTCGCCCACTGGGCCCCACCCAGGGCTCTGTGCACCCTACCTCGCAGCCTTCCGGAAGCAGCCAAGTCAAGATTGATGCTTCTCTGAGCAGCGGCTGGACGGTACGTGGTCCTGGCCAGGGCAGGCTGCTGAGCGCACTGGGGAAATGGTCCGTGGAGTGGGCTTGCCGGCCACGGCTCTGTAGCGAGCCCAGATCTTCGGGTTCCTGAGCCCTGGGGAGTCCTCCTTGGCTGCAGAGGCGGTCTGCCCCCTGGATGGGCAGAACCTGTCCATACAGTGGTGCCGGCTGCTTTGCACACCTGATTCCTAGGAGCCTCTGGGTTGAAGTGCCAGGAAGTTAAAAATAATAAAGGACAGAAATTCTTCCCTAGAAGGGGGCCTCTACCTCAGTGGGTGAGTGACTGTCACAAAACAGAATGTCTGGTGGGGGCCAGCCCTGTGGCCGAGTAGTTAAGTTCGCACGCTCTGCTTTCGTGGCCCAGGGTTTCGCTGGTTCAAGTCCTGGGCGCAGATACAGCACTGCTCGTCAGGTCATGCTGAAGTGGCATCCCACATGCCACAACTGGAAGGACCCACAACTAAAAATACACAACTATGTACCTGGGGGCTTTGGGGAGGTAAAGAAAAAATAAAGACAAAACAGAATGTCTGGGAGCTTCCTCCTGAGTGTCACCAGGCTGCGGGCGGGATCGCACTCCTGCTGCCCGGCTGGACCCCAGCCCCTGCGCCACAGGTCCCCGGGTTGGAGAAGGCCCCATGAAGCCAGAGCTCCGGAGGCTCCTCCGGGAGGGTGTGGGGGCCTTCAAGTCGCCCTGTCCAGAGGGGCTCTGGTGGTGCTCCGCCACACATGGGCTGCCCCTTGCCGTGTTTCTGGGACAGGAGAGCCTCCCTCAGGAAGGGAGCAGCAGGCAGAGGCACTCAGATCTGGGGGTCCCACCTGGGAGACCTCGGCATGTCTGGGTCTGAGTGCCCTGCAGTCCATTCCACAGTCCACCTTTCCCCCGCAACCCCTAGCCTGGGGCGTCTGTTAGGACACCGGCTGGTGACCAGCAATATTAGGAGGAGCAGGAGGGCCTCAGCAGAAGCCATCTGTCACCGAGGATGCGGCAGACACCAGGGAAGAACTGGGGCCTCCACGACCTCCACCAAGAGCACAAGCACGTTTCTTAGCTTTACTTGTTTATTCAGTTCGATCCAGGGCAACTGTCTCCAAAACCCATACACGGGACAGGGTGTGCACACCGGACGTGACGTACACCATGTCACGCATAATCGATCAGCACAGGATGGGTTAGGGGCAGGTGAACTCCATCCACTCAGGCCCACGCGGTTTCGTCCTCAACAGACCTTCCTAGAAGACACTAAAGTACATTCTGCCTTTGCAGTTTCTAAAATAGAAACATGAGTTTTGAACCTTCTGGTCGGGTCCTAAAGGGAGCCGGTGTTCCACTTTGGAGAGGGCTCCGCCTCGGCGGCATGTGCCGTGAGCACCAGGAGGCTGTGCTGGAGGGGAGAGGGCAAGCCCGAGCAGGCTCCAGGGCAGCCCCTGCGCCTCTCCCCACCGAGAGGAGGCCCTGTACTCGGAGCACTTGGTCATCAGGCGAAACCTCCAGAAACTGAACTTCTGGCCTGTAATTTGCTTTCTCCCTCTCCCAAACCGCCTGCTGAGTTGTTCAGACTGCAGCTCATCCTGTCTCCCGACAAGGTCAGGCTGCCCTGAGGTTGCCGCCCTCCACCAGTCTCCAGACCACGGTCACCTCTGTTCCCGTAAAAATGCCCTTTGCCCCATGCCGCTGGGAACTAGAAAGGCTGGAGCTGGGAGAGCCCTCTGGACAAAAGAGAACAGGAAATCACAGGAACGTTATTCTCCTAATCGGAGTTAAAAACGGGGTATGTGGCATCTTTCCTACACGTGGCACTGTCCTTGGGCACCGAGCTGACCCTGATGCTGCCTGGGCCAGGCCAAAAGCTCTGCCCATGGACCAGATGTAACAAATGGCCCCCAGCTGGCCCTGATGGGATGCTTCCCACGGTCTGGGCCATGAGGCTGACACACCTGGGGCAGGGGCACCAGATGGCCCAGGAAAGTGGGCAGTGGGAACAGACCCAGCACAGCCCCTCTCAAAAGGCTCAGGCCAGAGGAAGGGCCTGCTGTCCCCTCCCAGCTGTGGGGAGGAGCCAGCCTGTCTTGTCCCTGCCAGGACACCAAGTAGCTGTCTTGCAGTGATGCTGACATTCTTTACAAAGCAAGCACATATTAAACCAGACAAGCCTTTTTAATAAGGCTCCGGGACAAAATGGGCATGCGCTAGAGAGCAAGCAAGTCACGACAGACGCCTGCAGAAGATGCAAGGGACACACCCTTCTCCCTTCAGAAGATGCCAGGGCTCTTCTCTGGCCCCACGAGACATGCTGCCTGGGCTCCCCGTAAATGTCACGACTTGCACTGGGGATTCTGAGCACAGCTCCCAGGGGCCCTCAGCATTTCAGAGTCACGTGTTAGGGTTTCTGTGAGCAACAGTGTGTCACATTCCCAGAAACCTCAGCCAGGCCAGCCCAGATTTCTTGGCACAGGCAACCCAGACCCCACAGACATAGTAAGCTGTCAAGAGAAAGGCCATCGGAGCACGAAGTCCAATACTACTTAGGAAAACAGAAGAAAGGGCCTCCCTCCAGGTGGCTGCTGGCCAATGTGGTAAAGGTGGTTTTTCAGAGCAGCTCAGGGTGCAGCGTGCTCACACCCAGGCTGGGCTGTAGCATAAGTGTGTACAGCCAAAGAACCTGGGCTCAGGTCTCCCCGATGCCCGAGTGAAAACACCAGAACCCACATGCGCATGGCTGTGTAAACGTGTGGGCTGGGCCCTGCGTTTGGCTGCGAGGCCCAGGGGGCCCAGGCGTGGGGCACTATGTGGGCTCTTGCCTTCCCTGTGGTTGTTCCACATCATTGTGAGCAGGACCTGCATTTGCCAGGGCTGGCCCTGGGCTCCACCACACACAGACCAGGCCAGGCCAACAGCCTTGTCCAGACAGGAAGTCCCCCAGGCTGCCCCGTCCCACAGCTGGGACCACGGGTATCAGAAAGATGAGCCGGCTCTGCTACCTGAGCAGGTGCCCCTGGCCTTCTGCAGCCACAGCTCAGAGGGGCAGCTGACTCAGGCTCAGAGGACATTCTGTGGCCAAGAGACAGAAGCCTCTGGACTGTGGGCCCTTTCCCATCCTGGTGGCCCCAGTGGGTCTACATGACCAGGGCTCTAGGCTGGCTGAGAAGAGAGAATTTGAGCCTTGTGGGGAGCACCCCCCAGTTAACAGCCTCCTCAAGCGGGCATCTCACACGGGACGTGCACAGACAAGTCTGCACTCTGCCAGGCCTCTACCTTGCAAGTCTCCCCGTCTCCCTGGGGTCTGACAAGTCTGCTGCCTGCTGGAGCCCCGTACCTGCTGGGCTGACATGGGTCCCGGGCTCCTGCCCTCTCCCACAAGCCAGGCCACCCAACTCCCTCCAGGACAGGGGAGGGAAGCTCCAGGCCAAACTGTGATCCTGTGCCCCATCTAATCTCAGCAAGCTGGTACCATCAGATGTGCCACCCGACCACCACAAAACCCACCTTGGGTGTCACAGGGCAATCCGTTCCCTGGACTCACGGCCCTGCCCCGAGCCTCTGGGCCTCTGCACCCGCTGGCCACCCAGTCCATGTCTCTGAGATTGCCCTTGACTGCTGGGGGCTGCTCGGAGCCCTGCAGGAAATCCCCAGGGCCAAAGACTAGGCTTATCTTTCCCCTAAGCTCTTTGCAACAGAGTCTCTCATTTAATTAAAGATTTCCTTTTTCTAAGGGAAAATCCAGGTTTTATAGCATTAAGACAGGAGTCAAACTTTGGTCTTGAACGATCTGGCAGTGTCTAGGCAGCCTCCTTAGCAATCTGCAGTTTCGAAATTCTCCAAATCGCAGGCGACCCGGGCTCGGCCTGGCGCGGGGCCCTCAGGCCGCAGGGCGGCGCCTCACACCACCTGCAGGCTGCGCTCGTGCCCGTCCAGCTGGACCTTGAGCTTGTGCAGCTCCTCGATCTCCCGGTTGTGCCGTTCAGTTTTGTGGCGCACCAGCGAGCGGTAGAAGTGGATGGTGAAGACCACGAAGATGAGGCCCACGGGCACCATGATGATGGTGGACACAAGGGCCGCCTGCCAGCCCGTGTGGCCGCCGGGGCCGGCCGGGTGTCCGGGCTGATGGCGCGCATCCACAGGCAGGAACTTGATCCAGCAGAGCAGCACCACCTCGGCCAGGAAGAGCAGGATGCCCAGCACGGTGGAGAAGCCCCAGGCCAGCTCGATGTAGGGGTGCATGCGCTCGTGCGGGGACTCGCTGATGGAGTTGAGGTTGTGGATGTTGCTCACGGCCTCCACGTTGGGCAGGATGCACGTGCTGATGAGCAGGGCGAAGAGGTGCACGGCCACCAGCACCGTGGTACAGGCACTGAAGGCGATGAGCAGCGGCCGCGGGTACTGGTACTGCGTCTCCAACTGCACCTCCACCATGGCCACCTGCAAGGCAGAGCGGGCGCTGCTGGGCCGGGCCGGGCCCCCCCGAACTTGCCCGCGGGACTCAGCGCGTTCCAGGCCTCACTGTTCAACCACTTCGAACTTTCCCTTTTTCTAATGAGTTAAAGAGGATCTCACCAAAGACAAATCTAAAAAAGTCCAGAAGAGACTAAAGAAGCACAGGGGGGTAGGGGGGCCACCCTCTGGGGGCCTTCGCAGACACAGAGTCTGGGTGTATCTGGGTGCCAAGCTACGACCCAGGGCAGAGGCCACACTTCCCCGGGAACATGCAGCTTTGCTGGTGACATCGGAGCCAGGCTGCAGTGTGGCTTAGCTGCAAGATCCCTGCTATTTTTCAAAAAACAAAAACTGACCTTTCAAAAGGTAAAATAAAAACTGAGGCTCCTCGGGCCGGCCCAGTGGCACAGCGGTTAAGTTCGCATGTTCCGCTTCTCGGCAGCCCGGGGTCCGCCGGTTCGGATCCCGGGTGCAGACATGGCACCACTTGGCAAAAGCCATGCTGTGGTAGGTGTCCCACGTATAAAGTAGAGGAAGATGGGCACAGATGTTAGCTCAGGGCCAGGCTTCCTCAGCAAAAGAGGAAGATTGGTAGCAGTTAGCTCAGGGCTAATCTTCCTCAAAAAAAAACCCAAAAAACCAAAAACCCGAGGCTCCTGATGGCCCCCAGGCTCAGAGCTGCCTACCTAGACGGCCTCACACAGGCCACAGGGTGCATGTCTCAGCTGAGACCCAGAGCTGAAGGGAGAAAAACCCACATCCTAAAGGCCAGGAATGGTGATATCAATGAGGACAAGGGTGAGGAGGGAAGCTGGGGGAAGGGGGCTGGGGTGGGAAAGCAAACTGAATCATTGACCACAGTCACAAGATGCCAACAGGGAATGTCTGAAATGGACAAACCGAGACACAGCAGTCTCCAAATGTTATTTGGAGCCGGGCAGACTGAAGGAGCTGCAAGGGGCTGCCTCCAGGGGGTGGGAAACACGGGCTGGTGGGGTTTGTTATAAGCCCTTTAGCAGCACCTGTGCTTAATTTTTAAACTACGTGCATGTATTAACTGATAAAATAATTTTTTTTTCAATGCAAGGGGTAAAAAGGCCCACGGGGAGAACCAGAAGCCCAGCTTCTCTCTGTAGCAGCGAATGTCTATAGCCATTAAGGCGGGAGCTGCTCACCACAACCCTAAGGAGCTTTCAAACTACAGACTAGGCAACACGCCCCTCCACGATTCCCCAGGTCAGACCCAGTCCCTTCAGAATGGCTCCTCCCACCCCGCTCTGCCTCCCCACCCCGGCCCAGCACCGCACCCCAGCACTGTGGCCCTCCCCAGTGGAGGGTTTGGTCCAGACCCAGCAAGCGCTCCAGGGCTCACCAAAGGCCTTCTCAGTCACCCAAAGGTAAGAAACCAGACCAGTCAAAGAAAGGGGGCGGGGAGGCAGAAAGAGGGAAGCTAGAGCGAGGCTTTTACACCCATTGTGTTTGCCTCCTAGATCTGGGCCGTCCTTGTTTTTGAAAATTTACAAGAAAGATTTCACAACTTCTTCTAGCAACTACCGCCTCCTAGAGCAAGAACCTCATCCTCTCAGTGGAGCTGGACCTTTTGGAAAATAAAAAGAAGATATGGCAGTCCTAGTGGACCACAGCCGAAGAGAAAAACTCAGCAGCGATTATTGCTCCAAAAAGACAGTGGCCATCCGACACGAGTTGAGGGGTGATCTTTTCTCAGTGCCCCTGTGGCCTGGGTAGGCTCTCGTTACCACAAAGGATATGGCCCAAAAAAAGGATGTTGGAAACCGCAGAGGGCACGGAGATAAACACAGATGATTAAAAGGTCTACAGGGAAAGCAGTTTTGTCCACCTCAAGAGAGAAAAGGCCAAAAGGGCATTTTCCAGTGTGTTTATGCAAAGATCTTACTAGGGGGCCTCGGATCAGTGGTTCTCTGCCTCAGGGGAAGGATAAACAAGGAGGAATATGCTTGAGGTCAGCCATAGCGCTTGTTGGACAAAGGCGCAGCTTTGCAATGCTAATCAGGGCATGCAGAATAGAAAGAGGGGCTCCGCCCAGCAAACTGCCCGACGGCTTCTCCAGGTCCCTGCCCTCAGCTATGGCTTCCATTGCTGAAATGCTGTGGGTCCGTACTTGTCACTCCTTTCTCCACAGTCTGAATAATTATCTGATTCAATGGTGCACATTAATCTAACCCAGGAGGCACGGTGCTGCTCGCCCCACCCCTGGGCTCGGTTGCGTGGCTTCCCAGTTTTCACTGTTTCGGCTGAATCTCGGGTACACGTTGGGGGGGGGGCAGCCTCCCTGAGCGGAACCTTCTAGAAGAGAGGGCAGGGGCACTGTGTGGCTTCTGAAATGTATCCCCAGACTGCTTAAGGAAGCACTTGTTAGTACCGAGGCAATACTCCATAAACGCTGGAGGAGTGAATTATTACTGGAGAGGGCGACACACAGCTCTGGGGTGGCATCCGGAGTTTCCCACCCGGCTCTCATTCTAAGACCGCTTCGCGGCCCTGTGGCTGCCCTTCCGTCTCAAACGACTCCTCCAGATTCACCCTTTGTTTTCTAACTTTGTTCACAGGCTTGTTTTCAAATTTTTGTGGTTTTGAAGCCTTCAGCTTGGGTGAGCTTTTCGTTGGCTGGAAAACAGTGGAGCTTCCTCAAATTTGGAAACCCAAATGTTCGGAAGGCCGAGGTCTAAAGAGACGGCTGCCGACAGGAAGTGACTTGGAGAGGAGAGCCTCTCGCGGCAATTACATCATGCGACACTGCTTGGAGTTAGTTTCCCAAAGTTAAAAATAATAATAAGTATAGGCCAGGAAAATTTAATGCAATACTATAGTCCTTCTGATTTAAACAGCGATGTCTAAACTTCTCACACATATTCCTTAACGTGAAGTCTGAGAAAATATTCTGTCTTTTTAACGTGACTGAAACATGGGAAGAAAACTGCTACGAGCCAAACTTGGACACCACATGATCATACGGTTTGTAATTATGTTAAGAAAAAGTAAAACGCAACAGCTATTTAAGGCTTTGCTTTAAACTACAGACCTAAACCCGCATTTACTGCCCTCCAAGTTGGTGACCTCGGCCCTCCCGGATGAAGTCATGCACTGACTTTGTGGTGTCTCATTTCTCCAAGGGTGGGCCACCCGATGACCAGGCAGGCCCTCGCCGCAGGAGTGGCCACAGTGGCTTGCTCTAACAGCTTTTTATTTTCCGCATTCCAATTTGACAACTGAGGAGCTCGGCTAGGGGAAAATGCAAATTGTTTTTACATCAAAAAAAATATTTGTTTCCAGGACCTCTGAGCAACAACGGAGAAAGCGGGTGGCTGCAGCTGTGTTCTCCCTCCGGGACAACTCCCTGAAGGGAGGTGGGTCAACCAGAGACGTGCCCGAGAAGGACTCCTGTCCTGGGGATGACTCAGAAGGAAAGCCGAAGCGGCAGCCAGGAGCCAGGCCCAAGGCTCTGCGCCATCACCCTGGAGGCCACCTTTGGGGAACATCTGCGTCCCCAGCTGGGCTAAACTGAGCAAACCCCAATCCATCCCACACTTCCTGCTCAAATCCCTCAATTTCCAAACCCTCGGCTGGCGCCTGAGATGGGCGGATGTGGGCGCTTTTCTCCAGGAAGCCCTGTACACTGTAGCTATTTTCATTAGCCCCCCCACTTCCTTGTCAGGGAAATACTTGCTGTGAATGTGAGAGTGGGGCTTCCTGCAGGCTCTGAGCTCGGGGACTCCCTTGGATCTGCCAGGAAAGCCCTCTAGTTGACAGAGCAGTCTCCCTGGAGGAGCTGGGACCTGGGGGCGCTTCCTAACCGTCCATCCTGGCTGCCAGTGGGGCCCAGAGAGCGTGCTTTGCTTCCCGCAGCATGGCAGGATCTGGATCGGCAGAGGCCCCTCGGGCGGGCTGCCGTCCCCCTGCGCGCCTGCACTCACCATGGCGAAGCCCGAGAGGAGGGCGGAGGTGCGGCTGGAGGCCTTCAGCTTGGCCCTGCTCAGGTAGAGCTTCCTCCAGGACAGGGCCTGCACCGAGTGGTGGTTGGAGGTGACCAGCTCCAGGTAGCTGCGGCGAACCCAGTCCCGGTAATCCATGCCCTTGTGGCCTGGCTCGGAGCAGGCAGGAGTGGAGGGGTCCACAGGCACGTTGAGCTCGGCGCTCATGGTGGGAGCCAGACTGGGGGCGGGAGAGACACACTCAGGCCTCCCACAGGGTTCCCGGGGCCTGGAAAAGCCAGAACCCAAGACCCTTAACCTTCCCTGGGGTCCGCTGCATAGCCCCTGTGCCAGGACCATGCGGTCCAGCGGTAGCAAGCGTGGGGCCCTGGTCTCCGAGGCCATCCCCACACGGGAATGTGCGAACTATCTGCAGGAGGGGAGGGTCAGGAGTGCATTTCTAGGAACCACCGCAGCGTCCAACGCTGTTCCAAACGCTGGACTCCGGCCTCCCATCCCAGTGCTCAGAGAGGCTCCAATCAAGTGTGGCTGGCGGGGAAATGGAATCCCAAGGTGGGCCAAAAGCATCTAAGGAATCCTCTGGTTCGCACCTGCCTTCAGGGAACAGGGAGCTGCAGCCTTTAGAAAGATCCTAGGTGCACAACTAGAAGGACCTGCAACTACAGTATACAACTATGTACTGGGGGCGCTTCGGGGAGAAGAAGAAAAAAAAAAAAAGACTGGCAACAGATGTTAGCTCAGGTGCTGATCTTTAAAAAAAAAAAAGGAAAGATCCTAGGAGCTAAACTTACCAAACCTAGATTTGACCCGACTGTGTGATCCTGAGCATGACCTCTGACCTTTGTGACCTCACTCATCCCCAAACAGAGACATCCCCACCCAACATAGGGCTCCTGAACAAGACAATGGACTTGAAGACTCAGAACTGCTTTTCGATGTTCAGGCGCCAACCACAAAACAAACATTCCCAAGTAGCCGCTCGTTTCTCAAATCCAGCTTAGACTGTCATCGGCATGGTTCACCCAAAAAATACTTGGTTTGTAGAACCACAGTGAAGCCACATCCAGGCTGCAACGGGAGCCTTCAGCAAAACGAAAAACTAAATCCACCAACTGACATGAACACGTTTTATGGAGAAATGGGGGGGCAAGCGCCCTGGCGCAGCAGTTAAATTCACATGTTCCGCTTCAGCGACACAGGGTTTGCCAGTTCGGATCCCGGGTGCAGACCTACAAACCGGTTGGCAAGCCATACTGTGGCAGCATCCCACACATAAAGTGGAGGAAGATGGGCACGGATGTTAGCTCAGGGCCAGTCTTCCTCAACAAAAAGAGGAGGATTGGCAGCAGATGTTAGCTCAGGGCTAATCTTCCTCAAAAAAAAAAAAAAGAAAAGAAAAGAAATGGAGACTGGAGACCCCAGGAGTCATCCCAGCTAGACAGCTGGTCTGACAATAACACGGAATCAAGATCAGAAGGACTGATCTGTTGAGATTTGTGAATTTAAACCCAAATCTCCACTAATCCAAATAGAGGATTGGCGGTGTCCTGTGGCCCCAAGGGCCACCCGAGCAGCAGCTCTCCAGGATCGGCTCTAATTAATGTGCAGGGCAGGATTCAAGGGCACAGGCACCTCACAGCTCACTTGGCATCAGATATCAACTTGTATGCTCAGGCCCGCATAGGCCTCATGAAAAGCCTACTTAAGGCTGTTACAAACAGATCAGCGTTTCTACGTCCTAGGGAGCATGGCTGGAGGTGGCTGAGGGGTGGTGGTGAGGGTATTTACCAGGCTGAGGAAATGCCCCAAATGGATCCATTCATGGCACTCTCTAAAAGGGCTCTATGGGAAGGGGTCCTTCCCACAGGAGGGGAAAAGCTCTCTCTTTTGGGGTGCCTTCCTCTGTTCTCCGCCAGGCTTCAGAGGCACAGCTTTTACTGGCCAACAGGATCCCCAGGGAACAGTTCTGCGCTCTTCTCTTTCTGCCAGGGGATGCCAATTCCTAGGTCATTTATAGGAATGCTGACTTGGGAGCCTGGGTCACTAACCCCTTGCCCACACCTGCAGCCAGCAGCACAGCTTTCAAGCACTTCGATCACTGGAACGCCCCGTCCCTTGGGGAGAATTCAGAAATGCTGCTCACTAACCAATGTGTTGGGTAGCTCGAAATAATTCAGAATAGCAGATGGAAATGGGCTTTCTCTCTTTTTTTTTTTCACATGTCACAGAAGCGAGACTACAGGTATGAGGAAGGCAGTATATGGCGTGTGGAGGGGTGAAAGGTACCACCTTTGCCCTGAGTATCCATCTCTCCATCTCTCATCCAACAGATGGTTACTGGACCCCAAAGTAAAACTGCATTTGGTACTTAGGCATCAACGATGAAAGAGGTGAGGCTCCTCTGCGGGAGAAAGGTAAGGGGGTGATTCTCATCCAGTGAGCTAAATTCTGCTTTAGTGGAGGTGGGGAGAAGGGCCTAGGGAGCAGAGGGGCTGGCTGGCTGCCTCCACCTTGGGCAAGGAGGAGATGCCTGCTAGGGAGCAAGGATATAGGGGACGAGGACGTAGGCGGTGAAGGCAGCACTGGCAACGAGGGGCTCTCCCTCAAAACAAGATGTTGTGTGCATGGGAGGGTTCTGAGAGGCAGGGGGACATGGCAGGGAGGCTGGCTGCCGCGAGGGTCAAGGGTAAAGGGGCTGAAAGACAGGATGCAGGGAGTATGTGGAGCCCAGGGCAGCCCAGACAGTCGGACTGTGCTGGACTTTCTCTGGCGGTGCCCGGCCGTGGGGTGTGGAAGGAGTCGGTGAGGGGAACAGTCTGGGGTGAGCCTGCTCTGTGCGCCCACTGAAATGGTTAGCTGACTGGAGGTGGGGGAGGGCCTGGTGGCCTCCAAAAGGATGAAGGCATGTCTGGAGCAAAGAGGAGGGAAGCCCAGGGGCCGTCAGTGAGCATGGCTGGGCTCAAGTTCGAGGGTGGAGAGTGGAGCTGCAGATGTCCTCAGACTGGCAGGGGGAGGGAAGGAAGGGCTGCCTGCCTGCTTAGAGCTGGGCATTGAGGCAGGCCTGTGGGTCCAGAAGAAAGAGAAGCCACATCCTGCAGAGGGAGCAGCCTGGACGGGATTCAAATCCATCCTGACCAGCCCCAGCGGCCTATCTTGTACTCCTCCTCCTGTTCCGGGAGGGGCAGAGGCTGCTCTTTTCACTTCAAGGCTCGGAAGGGTGGATGGGGGAGGGGGGGCCAGACGGAGCCCGACATTTCTGTCAGGTGGCAGAGGCTCCAAACGATGCAGTCCTGGCTGAACCTTGTGGGTCTTTTTTTTTTTTTAAATAGGAAGCAGTCAGAGAACAGAGGTCTAGGAGGGTAACGGGTGACCCCTTCTCTAAAGATTAGCAACTGTCCTTGGCCGGCCTGTTTGAAACATTCCCAGGGGTGGGTTTTGGGGTTTGCCTGTCTTAATTTCCTTTAAACATCTGGGGCACGAGCAATGGCGAGTGCCACGCAGAAACGTCTGTTTCTGACTGTCTTCGTCGCGCCGGCGCGAGGCGGGGGCCCAGTAGCCCCGACAAGGGTCTCCCAGCGGCGTCCACTGCATCTCTGTCCCTTCCCCTGGGAAGCCCCAGCGGCCGCAGGACCCGGACTGGACCCGCGCTCCGACCTCGGAGACTTCTGGGCGCCGCACCCCGCCCGGGGATCCCGCGGGGATGGGATCCCCTGGCCGTCCCCCGACCCCGCAGCCGTCCCACCTCAAGCCTGCCCGGGAGAAAGCCGGTCCCCTCCCCCGCAGAGCCTCCCAGTGCCATCCCGCTCCCCGCGCCAGACGCCCCGCGGCGAGCACTCACCGAGCTGCCCTGCCCGCCCCGCCCGGCTCCGGCTCGGGCTCCGGCTCGCGGCAGGCGGCGCTGGCGTGGCCGTGCGGCCCGGCCGGGGCGCCGAGCGCGGCCCCCTCCCTCTTTCCGCCCGGCCAGCGGGGTCCCCCCGGCCCCGCCCCCACCGGCTGCCCCGCCCCCGCCGGCCAGCCGCAGCCGCTGCCACGGCAACGGCGCGCCGCCGTCACGTGACCGGCCCGCGGGGGAGCTGCGGGCCACGTGACCCGGCGATGCGGGAGGGGCGGAGCTCGCGGCCCCTCCCGGGGGGAGCTGGGGGTCCCTGCTGCGTGGCGGGAGCACCCCAGGTTGCCAGCCGGAGCACGGACACCCGCGAAGGGTGCGCATCTCCCCTGCTCCCCGGTGCGCCGCGGTCACCGGGGACGTGGAGTGGCGCGGCGGCGGCGGCGAGGCCCGCCGGAAGCCTGGGCATCCCTCGCTCTCCGCCCCGCCGGCCGTGCGGGCGCCCTGGGCCTGGGCGACAGAACGATGGGGCCGCGCTTTCTCTGACGCCTGGGTCTGGCCAGCAAGTCCAGGGCGGAGTGTGTCCTGCGCGGCTCGAGGTGTGGGTCTGAGTGCAGAATGGGGGCACGAGGTTCCCAGGGCGAGCCCCGGAGGATGCCCGGGACCGGCCATTGGCCACGTGGAGGGTTGGGGAGAAGCCAAAAGGGCGCACCCTGCAGGGAGCGGGAACAGGTATCCCGTTATCAGACTACAGGGTGGGCGGGTGTGAGGTGGGTGGCGTGCGGAACAGGGGCGGAAGGGGAGGCTCCGTTTGGGAAGGGCCCAGGCAGCCATACCCGGGTTTCCCAGCGCGCAGAGCGCGCACCGGAGCTGGTCAGGTGGGCGCCCAGACTGCAACCCCCACCCACAGGGGGCCCTAACCCGGGTGCAGCACTCTCGACACCGGGTAGACGCGCGCCCAGAGCTGTTCTGTGTTCTGGGTCGGCAGAGCACCTGGGGGAGAAAGCGTTTCTGCGGCGCCCCGGCCCCTTTCCATTCGCTCCTGCAGAGAACCGCTCACCCGGAATAGCGAACTCTCCGGTTTTACCACCGAGATGTTCAGACAGGAACGTTCTTTTCAGGAAGTGCACATGAGTAATTCACTAAGAGGTGAGATGGGTTCATATCAACCTGCCGTGCCAGACGGGCCCTCAGAGTCCTTCCTGTGTGGCCTACATAGGAGTTCTCCATCTGTCACAACAGCACTGGACTGTGACACATTTATCCAAACGAAAGAAAAATTCCACTCGTGTCAGCCAGTCTGAGTTTTCTGACAACTGGAAGAGTAGATGTTACAGATGCCAGGCCAAATGCATTTATACTTAAAGACTCATTTTAGAAGCCATTGCTGAGAGCCCGAATGATACCTTTTAATCCAGGAGGACACTTAAAAACAGACTAAGCCACTTTCTCCTTGGTCACTGCCCTATCAAATCCTGGGGTCTCATTACTGGCCCCTCCCTCCCCACCATGGCTGGCTATGGGAAAGGGATCATTTGAATTCCGGGGGCAAAGTCCTCAAAAAGCAGTCATAGTGTGTGGCTTTGAAACCTCCAGCTCTTGGTGAAATGACCTGTAGGACAGGAAGAGAGCACTTTGTAGACTAGAGTAGTTGCATCATAGATGAACATTTTTTCAGCAACAGCCTCCGCTGGCTTGAGTTCCCACCCTTGCAGCCTGACTGCCCCTCCCTGGGAAAACTTCCTCTGCCGGTTAGGCACGCCCCCACCCCCAGCACATTCGTCCAGCGTGCCTGCACAAAAGCACAGCAAGTCCCATTACCAGGGCTCCTCAGAGCAAGTTTCCTAACCAAACACGGAAAGTGGCTTTTCCCCTCTAGAAGATTCAGGAAGGGGACGGCACCATGTTGGAAGGAGAGAGCTCTACGGATCACAATACTAATAGCTGGAGAGCTCCTCGGGGCACAGGTAGTGGAGTGGGAGTTACCCAGAGAAGGGGGTTCAGGTGCAGGCACACAAGTACAGCCAGCCAGCTGGGATGTCGGCTGCAGGCTGAGCTATTGCCCTAGCTGCTTGACCTTGCCCTCTGTGAAATTTTGAATTCGAATATCCCACTTTCGGACCTCTTGTTTCTCACTCAGTTCTCAACCCCCCACCTCTCTTCCTTGACTCTCTTTTCTCCCGCTCTGCCTCCTCTCCTCTTCGGCCCGACCCCTTCCAACCTCTCCTGCCACCACCTTTCCCTCCGTCACGCCAGACATCTCAGGAGAGCTGTCGTCACTTGCTTCAGGTCCTCCCCAGCCCTTTGCAGCCCACCGACATTGTGTTGCTAAAGCCAGAGGATATTTCAGCTGCTGCCTTGTCTGTCAGTGGGTACCCTTCCTTCCATCTGGACACACTCCTTCCTTGCTCCTGTGACCCCACCTGACTCTTTTCCCCCCTGTGCTGGCTCCTCCTCTGCTGTCTGTCCCCTGGATATGGGTGTTTCTCAGGCTTCTGTCTGGGCCCCCATCTCTATACTCACCCTGACTGGTCTCCCCACTCCCCTTGTTTCACAGAGTCCCATGACTCTCCAGTCACACCTCCAGCCCTGATCTCTCCCCAGGCTGGCAGGGCGTGTCCCACAGGCCCCCAACCTCTGCATGCCCACAGCCGAATTCCTCACCTTTCCCTCACATACCTGCTCCACCTCCTGGGTCACCTGCCCCAAGTCACTTCCCTCACATACCTGTTCCACCATCCACCCAGCTGATGACAGTATAGATCTGGTGTCATTCCTGACTCCCCTCTCCCCCTCGGGTCCTGTGAACTCTCCTGCCTAAATGTCTCTGGCATCTCCCTGATTTCTGCCTGTCCCCACTGGTGTCTACACTAATGCGGGCCATCATCACTTCTGTTCTGCATTACTTACTGCAAGAGCCTTCCACCTGACCCTTCCAGTCTGCTCTCCACACTGCAGAGAACTGCACCCCCCCCCCCGCCATTTCTCCCCCTTCCCCCTCCAGCCCTTCACTTTCCCTGCAGCCTTAGATCACTGCAGTCTCCTTCACATGGTGATTTAGAGGCCCAGGCTAGGCGTCCCCTCCCTCCTCGGGCTTGCTCTCTTAGCACAGCTGCATTACTGTGCTACCCAGGAGCTCGTCCCGCAGGCCTGGGTCACAGGCCCACACGACACCCTGTGCTACACCCACCCGACCACAGTGACCTTTTCCTTGTGTGTGTCCCTGATCGGATTTGGAGCTCCTTGAAGGCAAGGACTGCATCTTGCTCAGCACCATCCCTGATGCCCAGCAAAGTGCACTTAGGAATCCGCTGCATTTAGCACTTCGGAGTGCTCAAGAAACATTCGCCACATTCTATGGAATAATAACACTGAAGACTGCCTCAGGATGTGACCCAGGTTAATTTCTAAGGATGCTCTCCTTATTAAGTATGTTAATACATGGGCATCATAGCTCACTTTATCAAGTAAGCCAAAGAGTCAACATAAATTCACTTCCAAAGGGGGGGAGGAGGAGAGATGCATGTTTCCCACAAAGATGGCAAAGGAAACAGTTTCCACCCAGCACCCCTCCCATTCAACCTAGAAACTGGATTTAGTTATATTCCTATTTCCAAAAGTCAATAGAACATCACTCCTTTAACTCACTAGTTTTTGTTTTTTCCAAGAAGATAAACGTTGAAAACAGGGAAGTAAATGTAAAATAGTTAATGATACTTAGTATGCTCCAAACCAATGTTTCTCAAGGTATGGGAAGCGGCTCCACAGGACAGTCTCCCGGGGTGCCTGTCTCTGTGCCTACTTGGGGCCTGCAGTGCGGTGACTCGGAGTCTCTGGGGTGTGGCCGGGGAGTCTGGATCTCTTAGCAGGCTCCTCTGCTGGGGCTGCTGCGCTTGGGCACCCCGTCAGCAGCCTCCAGCACACAGCTAACTGTGTACATCTACCTCCGGTTCTTCCCGCCGACACCGTTTCTCAGGGTCAACGACCTCCCTGCTGGCTTTCAGTCACTGAGATTTGCTCAGTCACTGACCTGACACCTGAACACCCATGATGTCCCAATCACTGTGCTAGCACTAGGGGTGCAGCAAAGAACAGGACAGGCAGGTCCTCGCTCTCACAGGGCTCAGAGGAGAGCCTGGGGTGTGGGGGTGCTGGTGTGGCAGGGTGCAGAGAGAAAACAAGTGATGGGTGCCAAGGGAGAACATGAAACAGAAGTGTGGTCGTGGGCTGGAGGGAAGCTGAGGCTGATGGAGGGAAAAGACCGAGGCAGGAACAGCTTCCAGGGACGCCGGGAGCAGGATGAGGGTAGTGGGCACGAGAGAAGCAGGCAGGGGCTGGAGAGCAGGCCTGGAGGCCCTGTTCACAGTGTGAGGGAACTACTGGCACTTAACACAGGGGGCGAGAAGATCTGGTTCTGCTGGCTGCTGCGTGGAGAAGAGACTTCTTTTGAGGGGAGGGGCATGAATACAAAGAGGCCACAGCATCCATCCAAGCGAGAGATGCTGGTGGTGTGGACTGGGGTGAACGGGGTAGAGACGATGACTGAGCAGGTCCAGGATCTGCTGATGGATGGATGCAGGCAGGGGGTGAGACAAGAGGGCCCGAGGATGCCGCTGAGTCCTGGGTTCGGCGCTCGAGCAATCGTGGATGTGGTGCTATTTACCAAGGCAGGAAGGCAGAGGAGGAAGGTGTTTAGGGGTAAAACCAAGCTTTTCATATACTGAGCTCAAGGTGCCCAGCAGATATCCATGGGGAGACGTCGGGTTGGCCGCTGGACGGGAGCCTGGGGCTTCAAAGGGAAGGTGAAGCCACAAACTCGGAAGACACCAGTGAGGAAGGGATTTACAGCCACGGGTTAGGTAAGATCTCCTGAGGCCTGAGGGTTGACAACAGAAGACAGCGCTCTGGGTCACCCCAACATTGAGTTAGAGCAGCATGGAAGCGGGCATGGGGAAGGCAGACAGAAGGGCAGGAGGCAGGACTGTCAGGAAGGCCAGGAAGAGCTTGGAAACTATAGAGCGCCACCAAGGGCCTGGACTGGGCAAGCCCGGGGTCCCAGTGCAGTGACGGGGATGAAAGCTTGCGGAGGGAGGAGAGCGAGGAGAGCGAGGCGGTGGCAGCAAGCAGAACTTCTGGGGAGTCTGTGGAGAGGGGCAACAGGTGAATGGGGTGGGAGTTGTGGGGGAATATGGGGACGAGGGGAGACACCAGAGCTGCTTGCCGCTGGGAGGGCCTGCAGCTCCAGGGTGCTGGGCGGGGGCGCTCTGCACTGGCTCCGAGGCCCTGAGCCGGTGGGTGGTGTGGTGGGCACAAGGGTTGGCCTGAAGCTGTGCTTTCTCCCTGCTCCTGCAGACACTTACCTGCAAAATAGTGCAAAAAACCTGTCATTATGATAGACAAGTCTGAGCTGAAGCAAGAAGGCAGAGTACTGCCTTGTTTGACCTCAGCTGGGAATGGGGATCAGGCAACTCAGAGTTTTTGCTACTCTGTGCACGTCTGCAAATGACCACTATAAAATCCTTACATATTATGATGAACTATTCCATCATTATGCGCGCACACATTCGCCCCAGGGGGCTTATCAAAGGAGGGGTCTTCAGCCCCCAGCCCTGGCACAGGAAGAGCAGCACCCCCTCCCCCCAGGTTTGGAGAGCAGTACCTGGACCCTCCTCCCCGCCAGGTGTGGGCTCCACACAGCTTTACCCTCAGAGCAGCACAGTGCTATGGTGAGGGCTAGGATGATGGCTTCTGGAGTCACACTGCCTGGGTTCAAAGGCCACCTCTACCACTTTCTTGTTGAGTGACTTGGGCAAGTTTCCAGACCTTTCTGTTTAGAAATTGTGTTTGATAAATCCCTATGAGATATCTAATTGAAGGGCAAAGAGTATTCTTTTTTTCTTTTTGCTGAGGAAGATTAGCCCTGAGCTAATATCTGTGCCAATCTTACTCTACTTTATATGTGGGTTGCTGCCACAGCATGGCTGACAAGCAGTGTAGGTCTGCGCCCAGGATCTGAACCTGAGAACCAGGGCCACTGAAGCAGAATGTGCCAAACTTAACCACTATGCTACAGGGCTGCCCCTACAAAGAGTATTCTAATACAAATAACTAGGCCTGGCACAGGGCTGTCACATGAAGTGCTCACAGAAGTTTGGTGAGTGAGTGTAGGCCTAACTTGTCTGGTGTCTCAGAATGCTTATACATGAGGCTTCCTGAGACAATCAAGTTATGTGCACCTTTTCTGTTCAATTCCAGACTCCTCCCCGCCCATGCACCAATCGACAAGGGCATTACTTAACAATTCTCCCCAGTCATGGCTTTTCTGAGTGGGGGCGGGCCCAGTACCACCCACTCCTTTTTCACTGATGACAGCTAATTGCTCCCCTTTCCCAAATAAACACTACCTTGAAGAACAAAGACCTAGAGTCCCTCAACAGAAGGTACTGATGACCCCTTAAGAACGGTCAGAAATGGCTGCAGGTCATCTCCTAGGTAAACATCATTTTCTGAGCTCTGGTAAAGGTGTAAAACACACACATCCACCAGGCATCCTGTTTACTTAGCCATCTGCCCATCAGGCCACACACACCTGCTGGGGTGTTTCCCTCAGCTCCTGGCCAGGGGCACTGGGCAGAAGCAGGAAGTGACTGGCCCGGAGTCCCCATCGCAGCAGAGGAGGGGGCAGGACTCAAACCCAGGCCTTCAGGCTCCAAGCTCTGGCCCCCTCCACAGCCCCCAGTGCAAGACAACACCCAGGAGATCCAGGCCGCAGACTCAAAGCAAGAGTCGGGACACACGTTTTGGAGGCAGATAAGGAAACCAACAGTTCAAAGACAGGAGAACAAAACACACAACATGCAGCCAGGCCCTGACAGAGAAACAAGGGTTTCAAAATGTCCGGCCAGGGCGTGCGCTCATTTATTAGGGCTGACTTTCCACTGCACCTTCCTGGGAAAGACAAATTCCTGTGACTTGAACGGTTGAAGGGACAGCAGCTAGGCCAGATGCCACGTGGCTCAGGGCGAGCCAGGGAAATCAACACAGCCCAAGTGAAGGAAAAAGTAGAATGTTTCTTAGTTTCCCTTCACTCAAAACCGTTATGTCTTTAATCCGATCAAATTCCACACAAGGCACAAAATGTACTCAGAAACTTGGAGATAAATAATCCAAAAAGTGAGCAACGGCTCTAATGAGGAACCAACTCTGTCCCTCCTGTTGGTCTGAAAGGTTGCCCTTGGTCACCTCCCATTTTCTGTTCAGATCCCCTCTGATTTTAGGATGAAAATGCAGCTTTTGGCCAGTCCGTCCCCGTCCCTTCCAGTTCAGCCAGGGTTCCCCATGCCCTCTACTCTGTTGCAGCCCAGACTAGATTTTCTACCTGTTTTGTAGTCTCCAGCTGTTTTCCCCAAACTCCTTTCACACATCAAGGCTTCTTATGGCTCAGCCCCGCTGGTCAGGCCCATACCTCCCTTTGTGCATGCCTGGGGCTTCCCAGTATGCACTTGTGTACTGGGAGCTGCTGGGCAGGAGCACGTATTTGGGGGTGCAGTCTGTGTTCTCAGCTGCAGGACGCCCTGCAGTGAGAGTCAGCCCCAGGGCCAAGGCCACTTCCCTCATGAGTCTGGGACCAGGCCCATGTAATAGGAAATCTCGAGGCCCCATCCCTATCAAGTCATTTCACAGCCTTGTCTACAGCTTCTGTAACTGATGTCACACAGGCCTGAACAAAACAAACTTTTTCTGTTCTTTACTAAATAAACATTCCTTTCACAGAAACCAGCCCCAAACTCGTCACTGTCCAAATACGGGAGCACAGGAAGCAGGGGCAGAGGGCTATACATCTCCCCCTTCCAGTGGGAACATTAACGAATGCTGCTTGGCAGTGCGCTTGAGCGTCCAGGAGCCCGTCATCTGTCCCACAGGCTCTGAGTCCTGCCCACACGGGCACTGGGAGCAGCCAGCACGGGTGCCCACATGCTTCTACCCAGTGAGGCCTTGGGAGGGAAACTGAGCTGAAACAGCCCCCTCCCCTCAGTCGTGCGGAGGGTTTTCTGAAGCCGTGGTCACGGTGTGCCAGGCTCCAGACAGCCGCTGTGGCACACGTCGTCACCGCCCCATGATGAAGCTGGGCTCCTCCTCCTCCTCTGTTCCAGACGCCTCCTCAGAGCTGCTGGACGGCTGCTCCTGGGACTGACTGGATCCTGGAATCACAAGACATTTGGATTAGAGACGTACAAACTCACTTGGAGAATCAAGGGGCACTTTCAAACAGGAGGAGAGGGAAAATTAAGAACTAGCTGTTTCCGGACAGGACAGCGAAGAGCCAGAGGAGGTCCTCACGTCCATCAGTCCCCAGTGCCACTCCTTGCGTATAACGGGTCAGTCACAAAACTGACCCACCACTGCTAGTGGGTGGATCTCATCCTTATAAAAAGGTCCCAAAGCACACACAAGAACCCCATAGGGGCCGGCCCGGTGGCGCAGTGGTTAACTGCGCACGTTCTGCTTCGGCAGCCCGGGGTTTGCGGGTTTGGATCCTGGGTGCGGACATGGCACCGTTTGGCAAGCCATGCTGTGGTAGGCATCCCACATATAAAGTGGAGGAAGATGGGCATGGTTATTAGCTCAGGGCCACTCTTCCTCAGCAAAAAGAGGAGGATTGGCAGCAGTTAGCTCAGGGCTAATCTTCCTCAAAAAAAAAAAAAAAAAAGAACCCCATAAATTGGGCCTCAGTGCTTTTTCTATGGCCACCATTACCACCAATGTCTGTCACCTTGGCAAGGCGACGTTCCCCAGCCAGCCCTTTAACATTTAACGCTGGGCTGACAACACTCCTGCTGGCGCCTCAAGCTCTCACCGCAGTCTGCAAAAGGATTTTCAAAAACTGCATAGCAGAGGGCTCTGCCCACCACAGATATGCCACCTTGCCAGCTCTTCCCACAGACCCAGAAGCCTTCTCTCTGCACTCTACATGCAGCTCTGAATTCCAGTATTCCCCTGGCCTGACTGCCAGTACCCACAGTGCAGCTGAGCCAGCCAGAAGCAGAGCACAAAGACAACCTGCTCCCAACCCCGCCTCCCCTTCCCCTCCTCTCGGGAGCAGGGCAGTGGGCGAGAGCTGGAACAGGGCAGAGCCAGAGCCCAGAGAGGCAGACAGGCCCTCCAGCTCACAGTCCACTCCTGTGGCCACCAGCAGGCACGGTGGGCTCACCTGGGCCCGCCAATGGGCCTCCTCCCTGCAGACAGGCCGGAATTCACTCCAGCACTCCAGAGCCCACAGGCACCCAGAGCTTCGCTACTGCTGTCATCACAGGGTCAGACAAAGAGCTTCAGGTGGGAGGCCCCGGGACACCCAAGGCACAGCACAGGCTAAAATTCACCCTCACACCCCAGGAGGGGACACTGAAGAGCGCTCATGGCCATGGGCTGAAACAACCTCAAAGGTTAATTTAATTAATGCAGGGTATTCCTCCTTCTCCTCAATCTCATGTCAAGGAACGAGAAATTTCAAAAGTACAAACGGTGAGCATGTTTCAATAGCTACTATTCGTTGAAGACCTACTATGTGCCAGGCACTGGGTAAACCTTTACATACATTGTTTAATTCTAACAACAGCCTAGGAGGCAATCCATTTTATAGGTGAGGAATAAAGCTCAGAGAGGTTAAATAATTTGCTACTCAAGGTCTCATGATCAGTAAAACAAGGACCTAGGATTCAAATCTGGAGTAGCTGACTCTAGGTCTCTGCCTACCTTGCCTGCAGAAATGAAAAGCAGACTGAGGCAAAAGAAAGACAAGGTGGAGGCAGGAGTGAGGTGAGCACACTGCACGGACAGACACACAATGGAATGTGATTCGGCCTTAAAAAGGAAGAACATTCTGATACGTGCTACAACATGGACGAACCCTGAGGACAGTACGCTAAGTGAAATAGGCCAGTCACAGAAAGACAAATACTCTAGAATTCCTCTTACACGAGGTACTTAGAACAGTCAAATTCATGGAGACAGAGGGTAGAGCGGAGGCTGCCGGGGGCTGGGGGGAGGGAAGAATGGGGAGTTAGTGTCTAATAGGCATAGCTTCTGTTTTACAAGATGAAAAGGGTTATGAGGATGGATGATGGTGACGGCTGCACAACAACGTGAATGTATTTAACACCACTCAACTGCACAATTAAAAACCAGTTAAGATGGTCCATTTTATGTTACGTGTATTTACCGCAATAAAAAAGCGAAAAAGCCTGCTATGCAGAGATTGAGTGAGAAGCTGGAGATGGATCTAAAGCCTAGCTCTGAGCTCCCTGGACTCCTGGGGCAGCATTTCCAAAGCTCCCTCATGTCGAGACATGCGTGGAAAAGGACATTCTGGGGCCCCTGGGGCACCTGGTCGAAGGCCTTGGGCATGCAGTCTCCACCCTGAAGGCCCAGGGGATTAGGGCTCTGCCACTTGTAGCCGTTCCCCACACACCAGCTGGGCAGCTCTGCTCTGGAACCTGGTCTGCCAAGGCTGAAGCTGCTGGTTACTTCTGCTGTGTCCTGTAACTCAGTCCTGGTCTGTCTGCCTTGAGCCTTTCTAAGAACCAGCCACACCCACAAAGGTCTAAACCCAGCAGGACAGAGCCTAGGGTGCGATCTGTAATTCTGATCTTAAAGAAACAGTGCAACCCTGACTGACCGGATGTTTGTGGAAAGCTGTGCTTTAGATGCCTGAGGGGCTGAGGAACAGGAGGGCTCCGCGCATTCCTTGGGATTGATGAGCCCCTGAAAATGTAGTACTTCGCCTAACAGTAAACACAGCTGATTCCTGTGTGTGGAAACAAGCCACCAGGGCTTAGAAGTATCACTCTCAAAGAGGAGAAGCCTAGGAATCTGGCGCACATTCAAGTCATTTCGTAATTCGACAAAATTATCTCACCCGTTCATTCTTTCAACATAATAAATAAATAATAAAGTGCTTATTACTACTCTGCTTAATGCTGAGGACACAGAATTAAAAAGATGCTATCACACACAAATCAAAACAACGAGATACCACAACACACATATTAGAATGGCTAAAATTTTAAAAATTGACAATACCAATTGCTGACAAGGATGTGGAGCAACAAGGAACTCTCATTCATTGCTGAAAGGAATGCAAAATGGTGCAGCCACTTTGGAAGACAGTTTGGCAGTTTCTTACAAAGCTGAACACACTTTCTTTTTTTTCTTTTTTTTTTTTTTTAAAGGATGTTTTTTTTTTTTTTTTTAAAGATTTTTTTATTTTTTCCTTTTTCTCCCCAAAGCCCCCTCGGTACATAGTTGTGTATTCTTCGTTGTGGGTTCTTCTAGTTGTGGCATGTGGGACGCTGCCTCAGCGTGGTCTGATGAGCAGTGCCATGTCCGCGCCCAGGATTTGAACCGACGAAACACTGGGCCGCCTGCAGCGGAGCGCGCGAACTTAACCACTCGGCCACGGGGCCAGCCCCTCTTTTTTTTTTTTTTTTTTTAAGGAAGATTAGCCCTGAGCTACCATCTGCTGCCAATCCTCCTCTTTTTGCTGAGGAAGCCTGGCCCTGAGCTAACATCCGTGCCCATCTTCCTCTACTTTATACGTCGGACGCCTACCACAGCATGGCTTTTACCAAGCAGTGCCATGTCCGCACCCGGGATCTGAACTGGTGAGCCCCGGGCCGCCGAAGCTGAATGTGTGTACTTAACCGCTGCACCACCGGGCCGGCCCCTGAACACACTCTTATCATATGATCCAGCAATCACCCTCCTAGATACATACTCAACTGATCTGAAAACTGATATCCACACAAAAACTTTCCCATAAATGTTTGTAGCAGCTTTATTCACAATCACCAAAAACTGGATGCAACCAAGATGTCCTTCCATAGGTGAACGGATAAACAACTGCGGTACATCCATACGACGGGATACTATTCCACGATAAAAAGGAAGGTGGTATAAAGCCACACAAAGACATGGAGGAACCTAAAATGCATTTTGCTAAGTGAAAGAAGCCAGTGTGAAAAGGCTCCATATTGCATGATTCCAACCATATGACACTCTGGGAGAGGCAACACTGTAGAGATGGTCGACGGACCAGTGGCTGCCGGGGACTGGGGTGAGGAGGAGGCCGAACAGGTGAAGCACAGCGGATTGTTTGTAAAGGTGGTGAGACTATCCTGTATAATATTCTAATGGTGGGTACATGATACCATGCATTTGTCAAAACTCACAGAACTTTACGGCACAAAGAATAAACCTTAATGTAGGCAAATTTAAAAAATCATTTAGGATGTCAAGGATCCCAGGATGGAATGCAAAAGGTGACATATGAATCCAACTGTATTACAAATGGATGAAACCACCTCTGTGAAGGCAGTGGGGGAAAGGTGCCGACCTAAGTAATTCTGGAAATAGTGGAATCTGTAAAACTCAATGCAAAAGGAACTGTACTCTAGCTGATAAAGTTGTTTCCCAAAGGCAACAGGTTAACAATTCTGAAACCATTATCCACGTATCCTGGAACTGACCAATTAAATAAACGGATGGTGGATGGTGGGAGCCAGGTTACTCACTGTTTGAGTGGGAGGTTACAGGCAAACAAGTTGAGGCGGCTAGAATGATCCATATGGCAAGGGAGTAGAGTCGCAGACATCAGTAACTCATGTTTAGCTTAATATAAATAGACACAGATGGTTACACACATACTCGAGTATCTGCAGATATGTGTATATACACTGGTTAGTATACACATACATATTTTCTTGCTTTGCAGTTAAGAGGGGCTAAAAACAACCACCCCAGTAGCAAAGTGCACACCTGGCTCCCAGATCTTGATCTCTAATGCCAGGACTCCTCGGAGAAATGGCTGATTCTAGGTTTCGGCAGGAAATATACAAGATAAGTCTGGAATATCTTGTAATGCCAGAAAGTAAGGACGTGCTAAACAAAGAAAAAAGAAACAAAACAAAACAAAACCCCAAAGCCCATAATGATGAGAATGTGCAAAAGGGACACAGGTGCCAAATCAAAGAGCTCCCAATGGCCAAAGCTGGAGCAATCTGAGCAACAAAAGACAAACAGGATTAAGCCTGAAGCATAAAATAAATATCCACGAGTCCATAGTGATGTATATAAACAAACAGGGAAGAAGAGACAAATCTGTGCAGAAGAATTTCAAATAATTTATGTGGCTACTCTGCTCTCACGGAGGGGGTGCATAAACCCCTACTCTTTAAATGTGGGCTGCACACAGTGACTTCCTTCCAAAGAGGACCGTGTAGGAAGGGGGAAAGAAGAGTAAATTTACAGTCGAGAATCCTGACAAGCACAGCCTCAGCCAGGTGACAAGGTCAACATCAACAGTAACGAGTCATCGTGACAGTATACAGCCTTGACAGGATGTGATAAAGAATGGGACTTTATTTCTGTGGTCTTCCTTCCAAGAATCAATACCACTAGTCTAATCATGAGGAAAACATCAGACAAATCCCAACTGAGGGACATTCTACAGAACACCTGACCCTCAAAACTCTCAAGGTCATCAAAAACAAGCAAAGCCTCAGAAACTGTCATAGCCAACAGGAACCCAAGGAGACATGATGATTAAATGTAATGTGATATCCTGGTTGGAATTCTGGAATAAGAAAAAGACATTAGGTCAAAACTAAGGAAATCTCAAGAAAGTATGGACTTTAGCTAATACATGTATCGATAGTGACTCATTAATTGTGACAAATGAACCATATTAACTTAAGATATTAATAGGGAAGACTGGGTATATGGGAATTCTCTGTACTATACTGTCTTTGCATTTTTTCTGTAAAGCTAAGACAAAAAGCTTTTTTTATTAAAAAAACACCAGACACTGTCCTACCCTCATGGAACTGAGATTACAGCTGAAGAGATAAGCACAGGATGTGATTTAGCAGATTCTATAACCAAGTGTGTGCAAAACCCTCCGGGAGCAAGGGGGAGGGAAAGGCTAGATGGGTTAGGCTGGGTGGGGAGGGAGGTTAGGAAAGGCTTTACAAAGAAAACACTGCAAGAGGAAGGTGCGGGATGAGCAGAAGCTCTCCAGCAAGATGGGGAGTCAGGCAGCATGAAAAAGAAAGGAGCACAGAGTCTGGGCAGGCTCAGGGAGGCGGGAGAACAGAGGTGTGAGCTCAGTGAGAGCAGAGGGCGTGCGGAAGGAAGTGGCCAGGCCAAACTGGCGGAGGGAGAGATGAGAAAGGGCCAGACAGGGAGGGCCAGGAATGCAGGGGCTGCTGACTAGGTTTTGGGTAAGCGCTGGGCCAGTGGAGACACACTATCTGGGATCAAATCCCGCCCAGTTGCTCAGGCCCCCTGCAGCTCTGCGCCTTCTGTCACCACTTGGCGCCTAAAGTCCTTCATTTGTAAAACAGGGATAACACCACCGCCTATCTCCCAGGGCTGTGAGGACTGTGTGAGTTAACACCCGCAAAGCACTTAGTACACAAACGTTCAGTAAGTGTTAGCTGCTGTTATTATCTAAGAAGAGGAACGGATGACAACCCACTCTCTGTTTCTACAAAGAGTGTGGAGGCCGTACAAAGGTGGGTGGTGTGGAAGGTGAGGTGGGAAGACAGCGAAGGCTGTACTGCGGTCCTGCCACATCTGGATCTAGATTTCTGTAAGGTTGTTTTTTGTTCTTTTTTTTCAGTTATCTTTTTTTTTTTTTTTTTAAAGATTAGCACTTGAGCTAAGAACTGTTGCCAATCTTTTTTTTTTTTCCTGCTTTATCTCCCCCAGTTCCCCCGGTACATAGTTGTATATCTTAGTTGCAGGTCCTTTTAGTTGTGGCATGCGGGACGCCGCCTCAACATGGCCTGACGAGCAGTGCCATGTCCACGCCCGAAATGACAAAACCCTGGGCCGCCAAAGCGGAGCGCGCAAACTTAACCACTCGGCCACGGGGCCAGCCCCCTCTGTAAGGTTTTTTTTTTTTGAGGAAGATTAGCCCTCAGCTAACTACTGCCAGTCCTCCTCTTTTTGCTGAGGAAGCCTGGCCCTGAGCTAACATCCGTGCCCATGTTCCTCTACTTTATATGTGGGATGCCTACCACAGCATGGTGTGCCAAGTGGTGCCACGTCCGCACCCGGGATCCGAACCCGCAAACCCCGGGCTGCCGAGAAGCGGAACGTGCGAACTTAACCGCTGCGCCACCGGGCCGGCCCCTGTAAGGTTTTTATTGAATCCTCAGTGAGACCATAACTTCTTCTGAAGTCACATTCTTATCCACGAAGAGGAATAATTTTTAAAAGCCAGTGCTGGCAAGGATATAATAAAAGTGTACCCTATTGCCCAGGATTGATGGTAGTAAAAATCGACACTACTCCTTTGGAAAAAAACTGGCAACGCATTTCAAGACCCATGCAAATCTTTTTATAGTCTGTGATCGAGTAATTCCCACTGCTGGCAATTTATCTTCAGGAAAAAACCCAGAAAGGCAGGAGGGAGCCAGGTACATAATATTCATTCAAGTGTCTTCTCAAGACGACAAACACTAGAATCAATCTAATGTCTAACAAAAGGGAAAGGGTTAGGTAGATCATAGCATATCAACTGCCGGATATTATCAGTCACTGAAAAAATTACGAAGGAGCGGAAATGCCTGCAATGTTAAATAAAATAAGCAAAACGGAAAACTGTTCATATATTATGATTAGAACTACATACAAATGCCATGTGCATATGGAGAGAGACTAAAAGAAAATGGATAGAAAGGTGATCTATTGGGATGATGATATTTGAGCTTTTCCCATTACTCTTATACTACTGTTCACATATCTTAAAATCCAGGAATCTGAGATTTTATTCAGATTACAGGAATACTATGTAAAATGCCACTGAGTGTAACTGAAACTGATATTAACTTTTTTTAACCAGATAAATAGAGAGACTAGAAAGAAATCCTTCCTTGTACTAGGGAATTGCAAAGACATGAGAAAATATTTGTAATACAATGTTATATGATAAAATGAGGACAGCTATAAATATGGTATTTATATAAATAGGTTTATATATGCATTAAAATGGAAACAAAAGAAATGTCATTAAAATGTTAAAGTGATTATTTTTAGTAAGGATTATAGATAATTTTATTTTTGACGTTGTTTTTTGCATATTCCAAAAATTTCTAAAATGATCATCTATTTATTCTCAAAATATCATACCTTTATTCTCAAAAGACACAATGGATATGGATAGTTTTCCAACATAGTACGTATAAAACTTTGGCACTGAAACAGACAGTTCAATCCGAAACATACATTAAGTGCCTTCTGAACACCAGATCCCAGTTGAGATATGACTCTTTTTTTTTTAAGATTGGCACCTGAGCTAACATCTGTTACCAATCTTTTTTTCTTCTTCTTCTCCCCGAAGCCCCCAGCACATTGCTGTACATTCTAGTTGTAGGTCCTCTGGTTGTGCTGTGTGGGACGCCACCCCAGCATGGCCCGATGAGCAGTGCCATGTCCACGACCAAGGTCTGAACTGGCAAAACCCTGGGCTGACGAAGCAGAGTGCACGAACTTAACCACTTGGCCGGCCCTGAGATATGATTCTTTACTGGGGGCAATTTTGTCTCCCTTTCTGACTAGGGAACATGCGGCAATGTCTGGAGACATTTTTGATTGTCAATGACTGAGGGGACCACTGGCATCTAGAGGGTAGAGGCCAGGACGCTGGTAAACACCCTACAATGAACAGGCTATAACCCTCACAAAACAGAATCACCCAGCCCAAAATGGCAATGGTGCTGAGGCTAGAAATTGCTCTTATACACCTGGTAACAAATCACCTTAAGGTCACCCTGGGTGTCTTTGGTCGGCAGGCCTATGTCAGGATAAGAAACACTGGTGTTAGAATACATCGTTTTGGGAGTCCAAGGCTTTCTTAATAATCCACATGGGCTTAAGGCCATCCGTGGTGTCATTCAGACAGCAGCCCCACACCACAGGGCCTCTTCACTGAATTACTGGACCCGCGTGGACAGCAAGCGGGGACACTTCCTCTCCAACAACAAAGCGGAACTCCTAGCTGGCTGCCCCTTACAGCTTTTGAGAAGAGCCAAAAAGCTTGAGAGATTGCCTTCCCGGTCCATCCAGAGCCCAGCGGTGCACAGCGCCACCCTGTGGCACAACTGAGCGTCACGACATTAAGTTTCTACTCATTTCAACCAGACAGCTGGGAAATCGATTTTCTTTCATGAGATGAAAAATAAGGAAGGAAACTGAGAAGGCGAGGTAAAAGGCACACAAACCATTTTTGTGACAGCTATTCCTCTAGCACTCTCTATCCTGCTCACTTGGTACGAAGCAAATACAACCATGTATTATTACTAATCAGTTTTTAGTATGTACAGGTGCTAACTTCACAATTATAAGAATAGGGCCCACGTACTCTAACAATGATTTTCAAATTTGACTACAGCCCATAGCCCACATAGAAACCGAAAGAAAATTTCACAAAATACCTATTCAGAGTGTGGTACTCTGCTATTTTCTAGTCTATTTTATCCACGTTTGAAACAGCGACAGCTGTAACTCCCACCCTGTTTTCTCACCCAGTGAGTACAGGGTCACAACCCCCAGTGTGAAAAGACACCATCCTGCTATGGTGTAACTCCATGATGTGACATGGGCGCAGACATCTATCTTCCTGATAGACTGAAGCTCAGGACAGGGGAGACCCAAGAGAGGGCGCAAGAGTGGAAGGCTCTGGACAAAATCTACCTGAAAGTATTCAAACCTGTTTTTGTGATCGCAACTATTCTTTACAGCCTGGGGCAAATTAAAGAAAGGTCACTGAAACTGCATGGTTACATGCACCTCATGTCTAGCGGGGTCAGAAAAGCAAGGGTTGGCTGAAGCAAGCCCAGCTCTGTGGATGCTGCCACTTGTCTCCTGCGGTTCTGGGAGCGGTTCCTAAAGAGCTAACGTGATTCCACAGACCCCGTACAGGTTCATGAAGTACAAGCCCAGAGCAAACTAACCTCAGTTTCTCGTTCTGAAAGCGTTCTTAGATTTACCAGTGAGGGAACTCCCCCAAAATACGATAAATCAGCAACACGTTCGGCAAAGTTATCAAATCGCAGAATTTTAGATCTAGAAAGAGCTCATCATTTTACAAGCTAAAAAACCAGTCTGCTCAAACAGGAGAAGCCAGATGCTTGAGGCCAGGGTGAGCCAGAGTGAGAGCTGAGCCTGGAACTTAACATCTGTTGTACTCACTCCCTGACTTCAAATGACCTCTTAGTTTCCTAGGACACCTCTGTGACAAGACAAGACGAAAGAAGAGTGAGTCTGGCTGATTCTTAGCTAGAGAAAACCTCCAGCTGCAGAGTAAGTGAACATGTCCGTCCAGCCTCGATGGAGCTCTCCAGTGGACGCTGGAGGGCTCTGGCCCCAGCACAGTGTGGCTCAACATTGTTACCAAGGACAGAGGAGGTAAGTCTATCAAACCTGCCATGACAACACTGGAAAGACACGGTAACATGCTGAATTCCAGAATCAGAATTCCAAAGGATTTTGGGAACCTGCATTAACAGAGCTAATAACACCAAGTTGAAATACAGAGGAGCTGAATGTAAAGTCCTGCATTTGAATTCAAAAAACCAAATAGAGGCTTCCAGGTAAGATAGAGCAAGCACATTCGACCCTGTCTCTAGACTGAATACAGCTAGAGAACTGGGACAGAAGACATGGACTCTGAAAAGTAAGCAGATTGAGGAAAAAGACCAGAATATAAAGTGCCACTGGAACAGCACTGAGTTTCCTGGCCTTTTTTCCCCTCCAGTATCCCTGAGCCTGGACTCAGGGTGATCCAACACGCAGAAGTGGAGACTGAATACACACAGAGCTCCAAGAGAAACCCTCCAGTTCTGCTTTGAGGAGTAAAAGGGGACTCCTAATGCCCAGAGTGAGCGAAATCCTTGTGTTTCTTTTCTCCGTTCTCTTACACCCTAGCTCCCAGGCAAGCCCACCAGGGGCACAGTGGCAACAGTGGCCGGGATGGCAACGGGGGCTTGCAGGCACAAAAACTCAGATGACGTCCAGGAACCTTTCTCTCTGATCAAAGGAGCTGTGGTCCTAAGATGGTCAGGCAAGCCCCTGGTGCTTTTCTTCTCCATCCTCCCACCGCTCGCCCCTAGATACAGGTGCAGATGTAGGAAGCACGTGGCAGATTGCGTAAGTAAAGCCCCAGCTTTCTGGGTCGAGGTCTGAAAAGGGGAGCCCTAGGAAACCTGAAACCACCGGGGAGATCACAGAGGGAGGAGATTAGAAGAGACATTCTCAAGTTGTTTATGGATCTGGGCTCATCCTGACAGAGCAGGCGTGGTTCTGGCCCTAAGCACCACACCAAACACTCTGAGAACTGAATTCAAAGAACCAAACCCTGCATGGCCACTGGGGGGCACATGCAAGACACATCTGGAGAGCACAGCAAAAGCTTCGAACACCAAACTGACAGTGGACCCACAACCCCACAAAAGGCTGGTCAGAACCTGTGCTCCAAACACAACCAGACTGACCGCCTGCTAAAACAACATTAACAAGACCAGAGCCTCATAATATAACATTCAAAACGCCCAAGATACAATAGAAAACTACCCGGCATACAGAATCAGGAAAATCTGAATATGCACAGGCAAGGACAATCAACAAATGCCAATGCCGAAATGACCCAGATGTTGGAATTACAGAATACGTTAAAGCAGGTATTTAAAAATTTTTCTAGGAAGTAAGGGTGAACACTCTTGAAACAAATGGAAAGATGGAAAACTGCAGGAAAAAAACAGAAAGTATAAAAAAGAATCAAGTGGAAATCTTAGAACTTTTTTGAAAAACCCAATAATAGAGATAAAAAATTCACTGGAGGGGCTGGCCCATGGCCGAGCGATTAAGTTCACGCGTTCCGCTGCAGGTGGCCCAGTGTTTCGTCAGTTCCAATCCTGGGTGCGGACATGGCACTGCTCATGAAGCCACGCTGAGGTGGCATCCCCCATGCCACAACTAGAAGGACCCACAACTAAGAATATACAACTATGTACTGGGGGGCTTTGGGGAGAAAAAGGAAAAAAATAAAATTAAAAAAAAAATTCACTGGATAGGATCAATAGCAGAATGGGGAGGACACAGGAAAGAAACAGCTTGAAGTCAGATCAACAGGAATTATTCAATATGAACAACAAAGACAAAAAAAAAAAAAAATAGGAAAAAAATTCCCAACCTTGACAAAACACATATGCCTACAGTTCCATTAGCTCAGTGAACTCCAAACAGGACAAAGCCAAGAAAATCCATGTGCAGACATATCATAATCAAACTGCTGACATCTAAAGACAGAATTCTTGAAGGCAACCAGAGAAAAACAATGACGGGAGAACAATCTGAATGATCACAGATTTTTCATCAGAAACCATGGAAGCTAGAGGAAGAGGAAGAACATTTCTAAAGTGCCGAAACAAAAAACTGCCAATCCAGAATTCTATATCTAGGGAGAATGTCCTTCAGCAACGAAGGTGAAATAAAGATAGCCTCATATGAAGAAAAGCTGAGAAAATTCATAGCCAGCAAACCTGTTCTAACTGAATGGGACTAAAGGAAGTTCTTCAGACATAAAAGAAATGATACCAGAGGGAAGCTTGGAACATCAGGTACAAAGGAAGAGCAACAGAAAGCGTAACTATTTTGGACTATTCGCCCCTTGAGATCTTTCTTTTCTTTTCTTTCTTTTTTTTTTTTTTTTCGCCCTGAGCTAACATCTATGCCAATCTTCCTCTATTTTGTATGTGAGTCGCAGCCATACCATGGCTGATGAGTGGTGTAGGTCCACGCTTGGGAGTTGAGCCTGCAAACCTGGGCCTCCAAAGCAGAGCACATCAAACTTAACCAGTATGCCACAGGGTTGGCCCCCTTGAGATCTTTAAAACATATTTTACTATTGAAAACAAAAATAATAACATTATCTGATGGGATTTTCAATGTATGTAGATGTAGTACATAAATGGTACATAACATAAATGGTAAAGGAACCTATGTGGTGGAAGTTTCTACATTCCACTTCAAGTGGTCAAATACTGATTCTAAGTAGACTGTGAAAGTAGCATATATATAGTACTCTCTAGAGGAATAGCTAAAAAGCTATAAAAAAGTTAAAAAGGGTATACTTAAAAACACAATAGATAATTAAAATGAAATAACAAAAATGTTCAAATAATCCCAAAGAAGACAGGAAAGAGGAAACAGAAATAAAAAAGAGGGAACTACCAAAAGAAAAAAACCACATAAATAAAATGGTAGCCCTAAAATCTAAATGTATCAATAAAAAGATAGAGATTGTCAGAACAGATTAAAAAACATGACCCAAACATTTAATGCCCACAGGAAACATACTCAACTACAGGTAAGTTAAAATTTAAAGGGATGAAAGTACTTTCCGAATGACAGAGTAAGGATCTCTGAAAATCTGCTCCTCCATAAAAGCATCAACAACACTGATAATAATCATCAAAAACAACTTTTTCAGAACTCTGGAAACGTTCATTGGATTGTTTGAGAAAAACGGCTGAAGTTTTGTAACAACAGTAAGCTTTGTGGCATTTTAACTTGCCCTAGTCCCTACCCTCTGTTCCCAGATCTGACATGGCCCCAAAGCCAACAGCCTCATAATCACAATAGCTGTGAAAACCAGCAGCCTAGTAGCCACTGGAGGAGGTAAACTGCACTGGGAGTTCTTCAGACTTTCCATACCGAGCGCACTGTCCCTATTTGACCTGTCTGGCAGCTCTCTGGAAGCTTCCACTTTCAAGGCTTGTCTTTATTCAATCTGACTCAGTGCAAATCACTCCCCCCCCCCCCCACCACCCTGCACCCGGGTGTTTGTCCAAAACAATCAATGGCAACGGGTTAACATCACAGCTGCCTGAGGCAGTGCTAACAGCTGAAGCAAACAAGAAATTGACCACAAGCTTAAGAGGAAAAGCTGAGAATCTCGAAGGTCGCATGCATGTGCAGAGCTGTGCAGATGTCTAAGAAAGACAAGTGATGGCCCCAATCTCACTTCTGGCTGACTTTGAGAGGAAGTAAAGGCTTAAGCAAAATGGTAAACTGCCTGCCAGAATGTGGAAGGCATGCTCCAACACACACCCAGAGCCTGTTGGCAAAGACTTGGGGAGACTTACTGGTTCAAGGCACTTAAGGAAATCTCTAATCTTCAGCTGACCACTAAGCTAACCAAGCAGAGACTTCAGTAGCCATATACAACAAAAAATACAGGCTTTATAGAATTAGTTCAGGAAGGTCAGTAAACACATAAATAGCAACAATGATAACCAGCAAAAACAACAAACCCTGGAAAGGGAGGATCAAATCACCCAGAGCCAAGGAGACTTTTCTATTTCTCAATATAATGGGTCCAAGCTACAGTATTTCCTCCAACAGAAGATGAGACTGGCTCCTGTGCCCAATCCTCCAGCCCTTGGAACAAATACTTCCACATTGCTCTGTGCGTGTGTGTGTGGGGCAGGGGGGAGGGCAGGGAAAGTAATGAGGTGGTTTATTTGAGGGATGAGGTCCTAGCAATCACATTTTGACATTGTAAGTAATTTCTTCTAGGAAATGGTGGGAACAGTCTAAAACCATACCATATATACTGTGTCACATGGTACATTTACAGCTCAGAAGGAAACTGGTCCTGGAAGGGGCCAATCATATTTCAGCACGTCAGTGAAAGTCTGACTTTATCATAAGACTAAAAATCACGATTGTCCAGCCAGGACCCATGCCTAGTCGATCAGGAAACAGCCACTGATTCAGTAATGTAGAGGACAGTGTCATTTTTTGGTTTCTTTGCATTCTTGGTCCTTTCCATCTGGGGTCCCTCTCTCCCTGATTCTCAGCCCAGGGGCTCCCAGGAAAATGGGTGGCACCTCCGGCCTTGTGATGGGTTCAGAGGTGGGCAGGACTGGCAGCACTGTGGGACAGGATACTGACACATTACTCACTCCCATTCCTCCTTGTTAACAAAATCTCTTGTCTGTCTAGGGTGGCAGTGTACTCAGCTCCCAGTGATGGATCACGGAAGGTTAAATACAGTCACAACAATTCTGTTTTCTAGTCATCTAACCTGATGGCAGCAAGGGATGATAAAGTGACCTAGTACTGACCAATGAGCTGTAAGGAGATGTCTGCTGGGTACTTCTAGGGGATCTTTTCCTCTTCAGTTAAAAAAAAGAAACACAGAGAAGTACCAGTCACCTCTTCCCACCCCCTGCCCCCCTTCTTCCTGCTTCGAACACAGGTATGATGCCAGGAGTGGCAGCAGCCATCTCATGCCCACAGGATAAAGGCCAAGAGAACTGCTGAGACGCTGGGCCTGACACTGCTGAGCTGCTGAACCCCACTGGGCTGCCACCTACCACCAGATTTGTTGTTACATGAGAAAAATGAACTCCTCTTTGTTTAACTACTGCTAGTTGACTTTTCTGTTTCTTGTAGCCAAAAGGATTCTTAACTGACTTGCCAAGTGACTCAAACAGAGCCAAAGAGACACAAAAACACTTTTCCTAGGGACATCCCCTCAGTCTTTCCTTCTAGGAACAGCTACAGATATCTCACAACCACAGGGAGGACATGAGCCTGCCTGAGGACAGGGAGCCAGGGGACAGCGAGAAACAGTGAATGCCAACAACCTCATTGAGCTCCTTTACTAGCCATGCCTGAAGGGAGGTTTATCCTGGACTTAATGTGAGCCACTATCTTTCTTTTTTGCTTAAGCCAGTCTGGCTTTCCGACACTTGCAATTAAATGAGTCCTAAATAATAGAAATAAGCCCTCATTTCTTCGGCAGTCAGCCACCCAGCTCCAAACTCTAAATCTCATTCTTGACAGGTCAGCTACTATGATCAAGACTGAGAAGGTTGCAAGCAAGAAAAGTGGGTACCACTCACCTTCTTCTTGTTTCTTTTGTTCAAGTTTCATCTTCTTTGCCATTAACTTCTTCTCTTTTAACTTCTGGCTACAAATGTAAAATACAGTCATGTGCTGACTAACGACATTTCAGTCAATGACGGACCACATACAATGGTGGTCCCGTAAGATTAGTACCATGTTGCCTAGTGTGCAGTAGGCTATCCCATCTAAGTTTGCGTTAAGTATACTCTATGATGTTTGCACAACAACAAAATCACCTGACACATTTCTCAAAACTTATCCCCACCGTTAAGTGACGCATGACCGTACATTAACTCCTTAACCACCTCATTGTATATTCTAGAAAATAAACATCTACTTATAGGATCTTTAAAGACTTATAATTACACAAACACTACAATAATAAAACAAAAGAAATACTTTCCCATCATTCTGCTACTCCAATATCATCATCATCATCAAACTGTTTTCTTCATGAATCAAGATCAAATCCTCGTGAGTCCTGAGGTAATGAAAGCAATCTCAGAAATACTGGAGATGCTTTTTCATCCAAGATATTTAGGGACTGTCTTGAGAATCTGCTCAGCTCTCTAAAAGTTGAGGGAGCATTTATTAAAACACACACACAGGAGCAGCCTGTATACTCATGTAGTCACTCAAGGAGGTCACAGACCCCAAAGAAGCAGCTAAATGGGAAGTTTGCTCAGAGCATCTTGTTAAACTTGATGTTAAACTACAGACATGAATGGGACACAGAAATCCACGTGATCACCAAAGTGCAGACCGCCAAGCTCTGGAGAATCTGTAACAATTTTGAGGGAGGTGTGGGGATGGGCACTAAGTGACTTGATCTCTCCCCAAGTACTAGAAGAAAAGCTCTTCCTCTACTGGGATGCTCCACAGTGGGCTGTAACACCCAAGACCTCTACAGGTCACACAGGTGAACTCTGGACCGCAAGGACTCATTCCCCAGCCATCTACTCTCCCACTTCCCGCGCTTCAGTCTCCTTAGATACGGGACACTGCAAAGCCCTTACCGCTTTTTCCGACGCTTTGCAGTCTGCTCCTCTGCAGCAATTTTATTCCTTTCCAGTCTCTTCTGAAACTCTGCATCCAATTTTTGCTGCAAAAGACCCCCCATCAGTTAGACACACTCTGGGCTGGGTATGAGAGCCCTAGAAGCCACACCACTGGGGGTGCTATAAGGCATATCTACGTCTCCAGGGCCACTGTAAGAGGCTGCCCCACAGGTGGGGCAGCAAATCAATAAATGGCTCTCTGAGGGCTAAGGAACTCTTCAGTCTGTTAACATACCACTCATGCACAAAATATGAGAGAGACAAAGTCCTCGAGGGCAGACGCAGCACTATAGCTCTGTGTGGCCAGGGCCTTGGCTGGTGTGATTTACTAAGAAATATGTATTTGGTCTCTGCTCACTGTTTCTGGCACACAGCTCCTAAAACCTTATAAATTTCCTATCTAAGAGCCGCAGGGGCATCTTTCATCGTAATAGTTTCCGTTCCTGGTTCCTGAAATAGCTCCTGAGATAAAGGTGAAACGGGTGTCTTTTGTTATTTAGAACAAGCCCCTCTGAGTCACTTCTGGAAAGCCCCTGAGGAAGAGGGCTGGTGGCCAGGGGAACTTTCTGCCCCATTTCCTGACCTCCAGGGAGGGGAGAGGGGCTAGAGGCTGAATTCATCACCAGCAGCCGATGACCTAATCAATCGTGCCAGTGCAGTGAAGCCTCCAAGTCCCACAAGGATGGGGTTCGGACAGCCTCTGGGTCGGTGACCATGGTGCTGGCAGAGGGGATGGAAGCTTTGCGCCCCTCTTCCACCTGGCTGTTCCTGAGGTATATCCTTTTATAACACACCAGAAATTAGTAAGTAACACAGCTTCTTCCATTCTGTGAGCCCCTCTAAGCAAATTAATTCACCCCGAGGAGGGGATCGTGAGAAACCTCCAATTTACAGCCAGTCCCTCAGAAGCACAGGTGACAACCTTTCAAGTGGTGATGGGGGGGGGGGAGGAAGTTTTGTGGGACTGAGCTCTTCACCTGAAGGATCTGACGCTGTCTCCAGGTAAACAGTGTCAGAACTGAGCTCAACTGTAGGACACTCAGCTGGTGTCACAGAATTGCTTGGTGTGGGGCAAAATCCCCAAACATTTGGTGACCAGAAGTGTCAGAAGTGTAGCAGACTACTGAGAGAAGAAGAGACACACAAGAGTGTGTTCTTTCTTTATAGACAGCGACCGGAGCTCAGCAGATGGACTGGTCAGAGGGCCAGAACTGTGGAATTTTCAAGTCCTAAGTGTTACAAGATATCAAATGACTGATTCTAAAGCTGTTTAACACGTACTGCCATCACCTGCTACTAACACAGACACAGACCATATATGTATATGTGAGTAGATATACCTACACATACATATATGCCTCTCTCCATCCTTTGTATTATTTCTTCCTAGCAGCTCTCTGCTCCTAAGCCTCAGTTTCCTCATCTAGAAAATGGGAGAAATAATAATTCCTCTCTCCCAAAGTCTTGAGGAAGAATAAAGAAATGCGATAACCTAGGAAAGCACTTGGAAACTTACAAAGACATCTACTGATATCAAGTGTCATCTCTGTTTCTTCCAGTCACAGCCATAAAGGTCAACAGTCTGCACTGCCAGGCTGTGTGGATCTGCTCAGAGTGACAGAGAAATGCTCTGAGGACAGGAATCATGAAGGAAAAAGGAAGGGTCTCCTTTCAAGAAGGAAATAGCTTTGAACAGGACAACTAGAAGGCTAACTACAAGCACTTGGTCTGTTCGGAAGCGGAGCTCTAAACATCTCCATCTGTGCTGCCAAAGCAGCTGCACTTACCAAGTGAACGGAACAGGGTCCGGCGGGCCGCTGCGCCTGTGACCCGGCTGTGGCAAGGGCTCAGGCAGGAGCAAGTGGGACGCAGCCTATGGGCGGTGACATCCCATCTGTCACTGGGAAAGGAGGATTCTCTTGCCTCTTCTTTTCCTTCTAACCTCAGAGCCTATCTTTCACCACGTGAAATAAAAACCTTTGTGTCTGCATGGACTCAAGGTTTGTGAAACATTCTGTCTTTTCTGTATTTTCCCTGGGTCTTTGATCAATATATAAAAACTTCAGACTAACTGATGGTATTTGAGACAACAGCCTGCTCTATCTTCCCCTCTAAAGTAGTTTAAAAGAAAAAAGTGCTTCCAGTGGTCTGTATATATAAAGTTTGGTTTATTCCTGACAGTACAAACTCATCACAGTGACCTGGTATAGCTACGTGACAAGCCACCTGAAATCTCCCACAGGAACTGAGAATGTCACAACCAGAGGGTGGCAGGAGCTGGAGACGAACCACCAACATCTGGGGGCCAAGAAAGGCTGCAGGAGAAGCAAATACCAGGTGAAAACTGCCAAGGCAATGATCCCATTCTGTTTCAAAATCATAAAGATAGTTTTCAAACTCAATTTTGGCAATTCCTATCAATATTTAGACAATTTCTTCTGTATCTTGTCTGTGTCTCTTCTTTTTTGCTGAGGAAGATTTGCCCTGAGCTAACAGCTGCCAGGGGAACTTTCCGCCCCATTTCCTGACCTCCAGGGAGGGGAGAGGGGCTAGAGGCTGAATTAATCACCAGTCTTCCTCTTTTTTTCTTTTTAGTATGTGGGCCACCGGCACAGCATGGCCACTAACAGAGTGGTGTCAAGTCTGCACCCAGGAACCAAACCATGGCTGCCTACGCAGAACTCACGGACCTTAACCACTAGGCCACCGGGGCTGGGCCTTGTCTGTCTCTCTGCTTTACTATTGCCCCTAGTGTTTTATGTTGAAAATTTTCAAACACAGAAGAGTTGAAGAATTACACAGTGCATATACCAACCATCTAGATTCTACAAATGACATTTTGCTACTTGCTTTATCACATATCCATACCTCTATCCATCCATCAATCCATGTTATTTTATTTGATGCATTTCAAAGTAAGTTTCAGGCATCAGGACATTTCACCTCTAAAGATTTAAGCACGCATATCATTAACTAGAGTTTAATATTTTTGTATGGGTTTTCTATTTTTTCCATTTAAGGTAATACTTATATATAACACCCAAATCTCGAGTGTACAACTGGATCAGCCCAGAAGTTCCCTTACGCCTCTTCCCAGTCAACTCCTCACCCAACTCCCAGAGACAACTACTGTGCTGATGTTTTTTTCACACAGATTCATTTTACCTGTTGTAGAAATTCATATAAATGGAACTGCACAATTTGGTCTCTTTTGTGCAAGACTTCTCTCACACAGCATAAAGTCTTTAAGAATCACCCATGTTCTTGCATGTATCAGTAATTTCTTCCTTTTTATTGCTAAGTAGTATTCTATTTTTACACGTTGTTTGTTTTAATTTTTTAAAGTATTTTATCTCCTTTATATAACAAGAAATTCTAATTTTCTTTCCCTTTTTTTTTTAAGATTTTAATTTTTTCCTTCTTCTCCCCAAAGCCCCCTGGTACACAGTTGTGTATTTTTAGTTGTGGGTCTTTCTAGTTGTGGCACATGGGATGCTGCCTCAGCATGGCTTGATGAGTGGTGCTAGGTCTGCGTCCAGGATCTGAACTGGTGAAACCATGGGCTGCCAAAGCGGAGAGCACGAACTTAACCACTCGGCCATGGGGCCGGCCTCAGAAATTCTAATTTCCTATACAGCAAGAGAGTCGTATTTTTTTAAACCAAATTATCAGAAAACCAAATGCTCTCAGGTAAAGTGGTTTCCTCTTTCATAAAAAGGAGACAAATAAACATTATTTTAAAGTATCTGCATCTCTCTAAAATGCACCAATGTATTCCATGGCATCAGGGTCAGATAGAGGAAAAGGACTTTTCAGCACATGTTGTAAGATTAAGAACAAGGGGCAATCTCTCACGCACAGCGTTAAGGAGATGAAATCAGATATACAAAATAACAAAGAATTAGCCAAATGATATTTGATTTTTATTAAGTAAGGTGGGCAAATATAGGAACACTACACACAGGATAGTATTTTTTTCCTGATTCTCACTGGTAGCCAACAACAAAATATAAAGGACCACCCAGCACCAATGCAATCAGAAAACGTAAAATATCTTTGAACAAATGTGGTAAGATATATGCAAAGTTTCCATAAATCATAATGGAGAGATACAAAAAGATTTAAACAAATGAAAGACTAAGTTTTTTCTTTCTTTCTTTCTTTTTTTGAGGAAGATTAGCCCTGAGCTAATGTCTGCCGCCAATCCTCCCCCTTTTGCTGAGGAAGACTGGCCCTGAGCCAACATCCATGCCCATCTTTCTCTACTTTATATGTGGGACGCCTGCCACAGCGTGGCTCGCCAAGTGGTGCCACCCAGGATCCGAAGTGGCAAACCCCGGGCCACCGAAGTGGAATGTGCTAACTTAACTACTGTGCCACCAGGCCAGCCCCAAAGACAAAGTTTCTAGACGAAATGACTAAACACTCTAATATCCATTCTCATTCAAGTTAAGTTATAGAGCCAACTCAATTCTAGTAAAAAATCCAACAAGATTTTTTTTTTTGAGGAAGATGAACCCTGAGCTAACTGCTGCCAATCCTCCTCTTTTTGGTGAGGAAGACTGGCCCTGAGCTCACATCCGTGCCCATCTTCCTCTACTTTATATGTGGGACACCTGCCACAGCATGACTTGCCAAACGGTGCCATGTCTGCACCCGGGATCCGAACAGGTGAACCCCGGGCCGCCAAAGTAGAACGTGTGCACTTAACCGCTGCGCCACCGGGTCGGCCCCGCAACAAGATTTTTGATGTGGATAAAATAGCTCCAAAAGTCAATTAAAAAAAATAAAACGGGCTGGCCCCATGTCTGAGTGGTTAAGTTCCTGCACTCCGCTTTGGTGGCCCAGGATTTCATTGGTTTGGATCCTGGGCACGGACATGGCACCACTCATCAGGCCATGCTGAGGTGGCATCCCACATGCCACAACTAGAAGGACCCACAACTAAAATATGCAACTATGTACCAGGGGCCTTTGGGAGAAAAAGGAAAAATAAAATCTTTAAATAAAATAAAATAAAATAAAACAAGCGAAATCTCCAAAAGAGTAATTTTCAGAGCAACAAGAGAGAGGTTTCTGGCTCTCCCAGTCAACTAACAGAAAGGTTAATAGTTCTTTTTTTTTTGGAGGAAGATTAGCCCTGAGCTAACTGCTGCCAATCCTCCTCTTTTTTCTGAGGAAGACTGGCCCTGAGCTAACATCCATGCCCATCTTCCTTTTATATGTGGGATGCCTGCCACAGCATGGTGCGCCAAGCGGTGCCATGTCCGCACCCGGGATCCGAACCGGTGAACCCCGGGCCGCAGAGAAGCAGAACGTGCGAACCTAACCGCTGTGCCACCGGGCCAGCCCCAGGTTAATAGTTCTTAAAGTACAATTTCTAAAGCACTTCTCAGTTCTAAATCAATTATTATTAGACACTGGTCATGAAGAAGTGCCAGCCTCCAAGCTAGAAAACTCAAAGCAGCAGACACACGAAAGCACACTACTAGTCACACCAAACACACAGCTAACTGGAGTTACAGGCATTCAGCCAAAAAGAGCGAGAACAACAGAGAAATAGTAACTCAAGTGGTGTGGGAGATCCTGCTTTCTATTCCACTTCTTGGCAAATGGCCTGGAGGGGAAAGTGGACTCTGCCGTGTCTTTCTATACACACGGACGTCCCCCTCCTCTCACCCGCCTCCTAGTGTGAGCACCCTGCTGTGCCGAGTCTGACCTGAGAGTCACCTGCACTCTACTTGAGGTCTGCTTCCCATACCAACTTTAGAAGGCAGGACTTGCACAAGCAACGACCAGGTGGATCTACTGTTCTTCAAACACTTTTCTGTAAAATTATAAGCGCACATTACCCCACACCAAGGGCTCAGCCAGCCTCCTCGCTCACTGACCTTCTCAGCCATGGCATCCATGTAGTCCTGTCGCTGGTACTCTCTCCGGCGAAGATGCCTGTACACGTGGAACTCTCCACTGCCGGCCCCTGCGCTTGAACCTACAGCCAGGACAGTCCATAGTTCTTGATGAAAATTGCCAACATAGGGCACCCTTAATCAAAAGGGCACCAAAGACACTGGAAATAATAGAAAGGACTATGCCTGCCCTATTCCCCAATGCACTCCAGAATCTAGCACAGCGCCTGGCATAGTGGAAGCATCATTAAATATTTGCTGCACGAATGTTGAATGTGAAGTTACTAAAAATTCCACTCTAATGCAGTATTAAGAGGAGGAACAGCCTGCAGTTCAGTGACCAGAAACCTAGAAAAGAGCCTATGACCTTTCTCTGCCCAGCCAGATGATTTCACATTTTTCAATTTCTACTGAGTTGAAAAGATGTCCATGATATATTAAGTGAAAAAAGTAGGTTACCAAACAGTATGTGTAGAACAACTACATTTTTGTAAAAACATTTTTTCTTTAGCATGAGTGATTTTGACTATAAAGAGGTTTGGAAGGCTGTATCAGAATGTTACAAGTATGATGTTGGAATTACAGGTGGTTCAAACTTTCTTATACTTCTATTATTTATTTTTCTTTATAATTAGGATATGTTAATTTACAACCCAACAAGATAAAACTATTCCCATTTAGAAAAAAACAATACACATATTATTAAAAATAACACAGAAGAAAATTCTCTAACACCAAACCATGAGCAACAATACCCCTTCCTTGTGAGCAAAAGATTGAACTAGCGAACATTTTTTTTCCTGTTAGAGATCTAATTAACAAATACCAACTGCAGGGTTTTTATATCTACACCTCAAAAATTATATTTACATACTGCCCTCCCCTCCCCCAAGACATTACCCATTACATCTCGGACAAATTCTGGGGGAGGTCGAGGTGCCCATTCACTCATTTTTTCTGGAATTGGAACTGCTTTGTCCTGCAACATTTAAACAGGAAAGCATTTTAAGTATAAACCTGCGGAGAGAGTCACATCTCTTCTAACTAAAGAATTTTAACTGGACTTGTGAAGTAAGGCTGCTTTGCTCCTGGGACCCAAAGCTGATTTTATCTTCCCTCTGTCTCAGCTTTACTTCATCCTGTATACTTTTGGGAGTCTATCACAGCCCACAGCGTTGCCAGGGCTACACTTAACTTTCCAGAGCAGAACTCAGAAACCTAAGACACCCTTCATGGCTGGAAACCCCGAACTTTAACCCTACTGTAAGAGAGTCAACTCTTTTCAGTCAAAGGTCTAAGAGACCTTCTCATCCAATTATTTTCATGATTGAGGGGACCAGGCTTGGACGGGGGGAGTGACTTGTCCCCGGTGTCTCGGCCAACGCCTAACAATCGGCGCTGTTTAGAAGAAAATAAACCCTTGTGCTAACGCACAGATTCCATCTTTCCAGTCTAATACTTCTGTTCATAGAAAGTTAAACTGGAAAGGGTCTTAGAGCGCGGGAAGCCGCTGCACAGAACCCTTATCCAGGCGGGGCTCTAACATAAGGACGGAAGAAGCTCACTATCTCCGGGGTAGCTTACTCTCTCCTAAAGACTGGCCTTGGGCTTCGGGTACCGCGTTCCTGAGTTTGGAGGCGGGGGAGGTGGGCTCGCGGGCCCCCAAAGGCGCCCGAAGGGAAGGGAGTGGGACTCGGAGGGGCCGTCGAGCCCGCGCCCCGTCTCACCGGGTTCTTCATGAGCCGCTCCAGCTTGAGCTTCTGCTCCTCTGCCGCATTCTTGGGGATGACAAGCGCTTGTGGCTCTTTCTTGGGCCTCGGTGGTCGCACCGAGGAGGCGGCGGAGCTCGCCATGACAGCTTTCCTCCTTCCCCGGCAAGCGGCGGCGCGCACGTATGACGACAGAGCCGCGCGCCAGGGACGCAAGCGCAGTCTCCCAGGCGGGCGGGGCTGGGGCGGAGTCTCAAGCCGGAAGCAGGCTGCTGAATATTCATAAGCCCACGGTGGAGCCGGTTATTTTGATCAAGGCTGTTTGATTTCATTTCCTGTTTCTGAGCAAATCGGGGATCCGAACGCCCACGCCCCTGGGTGGGGGGAGGTGGCCCTGCGTGCCTGGGGGTCCGGGCCCCGCCCACCTCTCCAGTCCCCGGGCGCTTCCTGGCTCCGCCGGCTGCCCTGCTAATGGCTCTCAGCATCCCCTCTCGCCCCCGGGCCTTTGTTCTGGCCATTTCTCGGCTCTGGTCCCCTCCCCCTCCCATTTCTGACAATCTCTTTATTTAAGATAGCTGCAAACATGTCACTGTGAGCTCCCTGAGGACTGGGGCTGCGTCTCTTTTGTCCACCTGGAATTACTCTGCATCTGGCACCCAGCAAATACACCTCGGTCGAGTGAATGAGCCTTTCTTATGAGAAAGCTGTTTCTCACATCTGGGAGCTGGCCTGGCACTTACAGCTAGGCCTTGGTGTTCTCTTGTTGGATATAATTTCCTGGAACACCAACATCACACAAGGCCATTCTGTGACTGTGATGGAAGCAAGGCATAATCAAGACTGCTCTGTAATCATGTTTGAACTCAGATGAAAACAAGATTATTGTTGGAACCGGAAAAAGACCAAACATTTTTGAGTAACTGCTGCTTCTTTACAGCAATAGCCTCCATTCATTCCTTCCACTTTAAATATTTATTATTTATTAAGACATCCAATCATAGAATTGACCCCATTTGATGACAGCATCTAATCCAGAATAAAAGCCCACTTACTTGAACCCTCTCCCAAATCACTTAACCCAAGCCCAAATTCTTTACTAAGTTCTCTTTAACATTCTCTTGGAGTAAGTGCAGTTTTCCTTCTCAAAAGAGGCAACAGACCCAATTTGTTCAAAGACGGGTGTGTCCCTGTGGTCTTCACAGTTGTTTTTCTTGTGTATCATTTGTCGCCTGCTAGAGAGTGGGAGTTCTGGCTTGTTCACTGCTGTACTCCCAGCGTCTGGGGCAAGGCCTGGCTGACAGCAAGGCACTAAATAAACATTTTCTGGCTGACCCTGGAATCTTGGGGCGAGGCACCTCAGATATGACTGCTTCAGCTGCCTGCTCAGCCTGCCCAGCCCAGGACAGCTCTCCCAGTGAGTGTCCAGGAGTTGGAAGGTGACCCCTCTGACAGGGTGTTAGCAGTCTAAGGCCATTCCTAGCTGCCCAATAGTGGTAGTTTTTCAGGGGCCAAGGGTGATGAATAACCAGAAGTCCTTGAGTGGCCCAGGTCTGTCACTGGGACCTAGGGAGGGCTTGGCTTGGGTGTGGTCATGGACACACAACCCTATATCACACACCTCAGCCACCTGGGCACCTCACTTTTCCCCAAACATGCCACCTCCTCCATGAAGTCTTCTCTGACTGCCCCCCAGCCCACTCTCCAGGCAGGCAGTTACTCCCTTCTTGATGCTCCCCCCTGCTCTGGGTCCCTGATGGCTGGCATGTGGTAGTTATCACAGCATGTCCTCACCAACTGTCTACCCACAAGTCTGGGGGGAGGGTTGAGCCAGCATCTCAGCATCTAATCCTGGCCTAGAGTATAGTGGTGCTTCTAGAATGCTTGCAGAACAGGGGAATGAGGGAGGGAGGAAAGGGAGTCAACAACCGCCTCAAAAAAATAGATAAAAAATGAATGACTGTGTATGAGATGACCAAGTGATGGGTGAAAGAATGAATAAGGAAGTTAAGCAAGTGAGTATGAGAAAAAAATGAGTGAACACTCAGTAATAAACGGATACTCCGTGAATGAATGAACACAAGAGACAGGGGATTAGCAGAGAGTTACAGAGCCAGGAGGGCAGCCCTCTCCCTGGTGCCCACAGCTCAGGGTCCAGCTCAGAGCTGGTGCTTGGCAGACAGCTGCTGGATAGAAGTTAAGTGAATGAATGCACGAAGGTGGAGGATATGGGTGTGAAGGAGCTGGTAATAACAGCCTCAATATCGGAGCCTGGTCTAAGTGTTGACATGTTTATCATCCTGATTTACAGATAAGGAACCACAGAGGTGAGTGACGGCTCAGGGTCACACAGACTCAAACCCAGCAGTCTGGCCCTGGGTCTGTGAAGGCCTGAGTGATCACATGATTCACGGATGGCTGGACCAAGGCGCCCAGCAGACCCTGGTGGGGGCCCTCCATGTGTTACCCTCCTAGGACTGAGACCAGATTTGAGGTCCTGCTCCCTGGAAGGAAAGGGCACCTTTCCTCTTGGCAACCCCCACGGGTAGCTGTCGCCCAAGACTGGACTCAGACCCGGGGTGTCACCCGATCTGCCACCAGAGGGCAGCAAATCTCCACTCGGGCCTACCTGCTGCTCTGGTGCGCCCGGGGCCCTGAGCGCGGCACCCAGGGACTGAGCTCTAGCCCTGGAAGACAGCAGTGCTTTGGAGTCTGGCAGACGTGGTGCCAAAGTTTGGCTCCGCCTATTCTGGACTGTGGGCTGGGGGAGCAACTTAAGCTCTTGAAGGCTGTTTCCCAATGCGCAAGATGGGGACGAGCAAACCTACCCTCGACACTGGCCTGTGGATAAAATGATGTGACAGATGTACAGTGCGCGGCACAGCACCTGACACTCAAGTGGGTGAGCACCTGTCCCAGTTTGGTTCCAAGACTGAGAGGTTTCCCAGGATGCAGGACTTTCGGTGCTAAAACCAGGAGAGTCTTGGGCAAACCAGACATTTGGTCACCCTTGGGGATGAGCACTCCGACCTCGATCCTTCAAGTTGTGGTTGGGACTTAAAGAATGAAAACAGCAAAAATGTTTACAACTATTCTATAATTTGAGTTTCTCCCTGAAATTGTGAGTCAGTGGTTTTTCCGCAGTGGTCGTGCTCTCGAAGACAAAAGAACAGTTCTACCAACAGGAATAAAAACAAAAATGGAATATACTCACTTGGGAAAAGAGTTTGTCAGTTTCCCATAAAGATAAACATACATTTACCATACAACCCAGCAATCTCACTCCTGGTATTTACCTGAGAGAAATAAAAATAGATGTCCACTGAGAGACCTGGATGTGACCAGGTTGGTTTGTAATTGCCAAAAACTGGAAACCACCCAGATGTCCATCAGACTGTGATATCTCCATTCAGTGATATACTGCTCAGCAATAAAAAGGCAGGAACTATTGATACTTGCAACCACATGGATGACTCTCAAAAGCATTATGGTTAATGAATGAAGCCAGATTCAAAAGGTTACAACCTGAGTGATTCCATTACTTGGCATTCTGGAAAAACTGAAATGATAGGGACAGAACACAGATCAATCAGCAGTTGCCAGGGGCCGAGGGTGGGTGGAAGGGATTGATTGTAAAGGGAATTTTTTGGGGCAATGGAAATGTTGTGGATCGTGGCGGTGCTTATGTGAACACACATATTTGCCAAAATAGTTGAACTATATGCTTAAAAAGGGTGAATTGAATTGTATGAAAATTATACCTCCATACACTTATATAATAAACACAGGTCACCTTGTCAGGTTGTGGGGGAGCCACCCCCCATTCTCATGTGGCTTTGGGGAGCACTGCCAGCTTTTATCCCATTGTGCCCACCTGAGGCAGCTCAGATCCTGTAAATTGCTCTGCCCTGCCCTATCCAGTGTTGGGCCAACGGGTGGTCGCAGTGATAGGCTTTCCCAAGTCCAGAAGCCAACGTGGATGAAGCCCCCACGCTTCTGCTTCTGGCCCTGGACACCTACTGGGCAGGGTCCTGGCTGCTGTGGCTAAGGCTGGTCAGCACCCACAGGTTAGGGGTCTTTCTGAGCCAGGCCACGCTGGGCAACGGTAGGAGGTTCTTAGAGCTGCAGCTGGCATGACCCCCATCCTTCAGAGCTCCCAATCTGATTCACTAAATTACCTTTCTATCCATGAACTCGGCCCCCACGGTTGGGACACTCCATAGTCTGCTGGTTGAAGGACCCAGTGGGAGAGATGCCTGCTCTGTCCTGTCTGGCCCGCGATCTCTCAGCCCCTGACACTGCCCACCCCACCTGTGCTCTGCACACCCTCCCTGGCTGACCTCCCGGGAGTATGTGAACCATCCACAAATCCTCTGCTGAGCTCCACACACGTGGGCACAGTGTGCTTGGGCAGGCCACACAAAATGCCCCGGATCCAATGAGAATCAGAGTCACTAACCTTGGTGGGCACTTTCAACATGCCAGGCTCTTTGCAACTGGGTCGTATGCATTTTCTCATTTAATTCTCACAAGGATCTTATGAAATAGACACTATTTTAAACTTTTATGTTGTGAAATAAAACATACATACAGAAAAATGTACAAAAACAAAACATACAACTCAATGAAGGATCACAAAGCAAACAACTGCATAGCACGTTTGGGTCAAGACGTAGAATGTGCCAGCACCCAGAACCCACCCCGACCCTCCAAATCACTATTCTTTCCCTTTCTCCAGAGTTAACTACTCTCCTGGCTTGAATGGTAATTGCTTCCCTGCTTTTCTTTATATTTTTATACTTTTATTGCCTAATCATGCATCTATAAAATTTGTTTAGTTTATCCTGTTTTTGGAATTCTACATAGTTAGACTTACTCAGAAGGCTTTTTTTTTTTTTTTGAGGAAGACTGGCCCTGAGCTAACATCCATGCCCATCTTCCTCTACTTTAAATGTGGGAGGCCTGCCACAGCATGGCTTGCCAAGCGGTGCCGTGTCCACAGCCGGGATCCGAACTGGGGAACCCTGGGCCGCCAAAGTGGAACATGCGACCTTAACCGCTGCGCCACTGGGCCGGGCCTGTCAGAATGCATTTTAAATATCTTCCTTTTACTGTGTAGCTCATCTGTTTACTCTCTTACTCCTATCTGTTGTCAAAAAGCAGCTCTTCATTTCAAGCAGTCAAATCTATCACCATTTTCTTTATTTAGGGCTTTTTGTGTCCTATTTTAAAAAATCCTTTCTTACCCCAAGGTTATAGAGAAACTCTCTTCTAT